GTAGGAATCACCCGAATCCTCAGGATCTAGAGATCCAGGGTGCAGACAGAATCCAGACAGGGCCTCCGAGCACCCCAGCTTTCCCACTTCTCGGGGTGTGACCGTAGGCAGGGTTTTTATCCCTCTGTGCCTTGGTTTCCCCCACTGAAAAATACAGATAATCACAGTACCCACCCACGGGTTGGTGCTGATTCACTGAGACCAACCCAGTAGAGCGCTCACTGCCAGCGAGGCACCAAGGAGAGGTTCAATACAAAGGCACCAGGATTATTAAGAAAAGGTGAGACAGAGAATTCCCTGGCAGTCCAGTGGTTAGGACTCCCCGCTTCCATTGCACGGGACACAGGTTCAATCCCTGGTCGGGGAACTAAGATCCCGCAAGCTGCACAGTGCAGCCAAAAAAAAAAAAAAAAAAGTGAGACTGCTGAAGGGTTATCACTGATGGAGCCAAAGACATCTCTCTTTATTTCACACTCTGAAATGAAACCGATCCTTGTCCCCCACAATAATCAAAATATGGCCATGCCTTTCTTACTGTTGGGTATTGGGTCTCACCTAGTAATTACACAGAATTTACAGAGCAGCTACTGGGTGCCAGACACTGTTCCAGGCATCGGGGACATGCAGGGCACAGGAGACAGAATTCCTTGTCCTTACAGATTGGAGAGAGGGCACAAGGAATAGATAGTAATTTTCAAGGCGCTACAGGGAAACAAATATACCAAGTGAGAGGGATGAGGAGTGTAAAGCGGGGGTTATGATCTTAACTGAGGCGTCAGGAGCAGGTGACAAGCCAAGTCTTTGAGAAAACCTGTGCTTTTAGGAATAACGCAGCTTTACCGGAGCCGCTAGATATATACCATTCGCAATGATAAAAAAAAAAAATCAAAAAAAAAAAATCATTTTGTATGAGTAAGCTTCAGATAAGCACAGGCTGAAAACACACTTAAGATTTGAAGAAAAGGCAAAATAACTTGGAAAGGAGAAACATTTTCTAAGAGAAACAAATAAAGGGGGAAAAAGGTGTCACATCACCCCGGGGCACCCAGATGTGACAAACTGGTACAGGGAAAAGTAAGAGGTTGGCAACTTTTCCCCAAACTAACAGGAGACGTGGAGACAAAAATGTACCTGGTACAGGCCCTGGCACATAGTAGGTGCTCTATCAACATGGTGGACTACTCAAGGGATGAACCCCCATTTTCCAGAAGAGGAAACTGAGGTCCAGAGGGGTTAAGTGACTTGTCCAAAGTCACATAGCTGGTGGGTGATGGAGCCAGGATTCAAATCTGGGTGTTCTGGTTCCGGAGTACATGTTCAATAAATTTTTCTTGAAAGAATAAAATTAATCAAAATACTTCACACTTATTAAGAGCTTAATATGCACTAGGCGTTTTATACATGTGACCTCATCAACTGCTTACAAGAGCCTCACGGCTGGAATGTGGCCCCATTTTACATATGAGAAAACTGAGGCCCAGAGGGGGAAAGCAACTTGGCCAAGGACACACAGCAGCAGAGGTGCGGGACAGGAACGTGGTCCTATCTGATGCTGATGCTATTAACCATAAGCTTTCCTATCAGGGTCAGAAAATTTATGGGATAAACTCCGGAAGCCTCAAGACAAATGAACCAAACTGTTTCAAAATGACTGACAAAGTTGCCAAACTGCCCAGTGAGGTCCTAATGACCAAAAAGTTGGGAGAAAAAAGCACACAGTTGTTAGAAATATTTCATATTCACAGAAATACCTGGAGTTGGGCCAGGCTGGGCATTGGCAAGTGAAATATTTATATTTGGCTGGGGCTAGGAATGGGAATGGGGACAGACTGACTTTCTGAGCAACCCCTCGGGGAGTCACCCTTGGGCTTGGGTGCCCAGGGGTAGAGGGTGGGTAACTACAAGAGTCAGGATATGGGAGGAACCTGGGAGAGAATGGAAAGGCAGCCTGGCTGATGTCTCCCTCACTGGTCCTTCTCTACTGCCCTCTCTCAGGTCTGTGTTTCCCATTCCCATTCCAAAAAAACGACAACTCAGGTGTATAAAGCACTTACTCCAAGCACTTCACGTGCTTACCTGCCCAAACCCTCTAACCTTCCTAGGGGTTCTGATCCCATTTTATAATTGAGGAGAGGCCAAAAGACTTGCCCAAGGTCACACAGCAAGTAAATGGCAGAACTAAAATTCAAACTGAGGACTGCTTCAGTTCTCAAGTCTCTGCCCTACTCATGACATCGTACGTCAGTACAAGGAGAGGGGACTAAATTACAGTGGGGAGAGCACAGATTCTGAGCCAGGATGTCTAGGTTGGAATCCTGAGTCTATCGTTTAATGCTGGATGACCTTGGGAAAGTTGCTGAACCTCTCTGTGCCTCTGCTTCCTTTCTGTAGAATGGAGAAAACAACAGAACCTACAACTTAGGAGTGTTGTCAGAATTAAAGAACTTAATACATACAAGTAGCTAAGAACAGGGCCAGGCACTTCCTAAACAATAAGTGTTAGCTGGAATCGACTGTGGGGAAGCCCCCCCTCCGGCCCCCGCATGTTTCTGAGCTGGGGTGTGCCCAGCTCAGTGCCAGGGTTTGAGATAACGCCCCTGGGGCTGGACTAAAAAGAAGGGAATACATTAGCACCTGTGACCCAGTCACATTCCTGGGGTGGGGAACTTCCCACCAACAGCTCTTAGACTAAGGACTTACCCCGAGCCGGGATGACGATCTTAGGAAGCCTCCTCTCTTCTCAGTGGCATGTTGTTCCCTCAATAGATAAGGGCACTGAGTTTCAGAGAGGGGACACTTGCCCAGGTCACAAAGGAGTAGCAGAAGAAAAGATCTGAATGCTGGAATGTCCATACACATAATCCGCTACCCTTTTCTAATTCCATTGGAGAAACGAGAGTGCAAAAGGTCGTCTTTATGGCCCCTGCTGGCCATATTATCCTACAGTTCTGTGCCTGTCCAGTTTATCGGGAGTCTCTGGCTGGACTAAGCAAACTATCGCTACAGGCAGGCCCCTCATCTCATGCTCCGCACTCCACCCACAGTTCTGTATCCTAACCTACACACCACTCTATCACTGATTTCTCTCTTCCACCATCTCAGCTTGCCCTCCTGTCCCCAATCCGATTCAGAAGCTCCAACCCACCGCATCCACAGCTGGCCTTTCCCTCGGAGCCTCCAGACCCCCTCATTCATCTAGCACCGACTCCCATGCCTTTCCACATCCCCTACGCTAAACCCCTCGAAATTGCCCCCTTCAGGGCCTCTGCCAGGACGCCCAGCCCCTTCTCCAACTCGGGACTCATTTCCCCAGCTCTGAGCTCCCTCACAATCAATCCCAAAGCTCGACTCTCTCCCCACCTTCAAGACCCATCCCCAGCCCCCATTCTTCTACTATTCCCTCCGGCTCCCATTTCTCCCAAACCCCTCCCCCAAGCGATCTCCCCTCACCCAGTCCCTTCTTTAGCCCCTGCCTCTTCCCTCTCGACACAGGGTCCCGAACCCCCGCCCGGGTTCTCAAGCGCCCCCGGCCCCGTCTCGGGGTTCTCACCATCTCCCCGCGCTGCAGCTCCCTCGGCTACGCGGGTTTCCCCCACTCGCTCCTCTCCAGCCTCCCCTTCCGGGTTCCCGCCCCGAAGCCCGCTGGGAATTGGAGTCCGGGCGGCCACGGACTACAACTCCCAGAAGGCAGCACGGTCAAGCTTGGAGGTGGGGAAGGAAGCAAACTGGGCGGGCTGAGGAAAAGAACGACTCTAACTCCCAAGCGGTAGAGAGGGGGCCTGACAGCGCAGGCGCACAGAGCGCCCCCGCCAGGCGCACTGGGAGTTGGAGTGCAACCTCCTCCATTTTGGCCCGGGGCCCTTGGAAAAGGGGTTGAGAAAACTGCAAAGGGGCAGTTTTTGTGAGGGGTGGAGAGGTGGGAAGAGCAAGTTTACCGATTTACTTAAACTGATTAACATAATAATTAACAGTGCCTTGTACTTTCTCAAACACTTTCCCATCCATTTTTCCCCCTGGTTTTCTTACCACCACCTCCTAATTTACAAATAAGGAAATTAGCCTTAAGCTTTAGGAGGGAGGATAGCTCCATGCACTAGAAATTTGTACATATCATAGTTAGAAGATTCACGAAGACAGGCACCTTTTTGTATCTTGTTCAAGCACACAAGAGTGTAAATAAATGTTGAGTAAATATCTATTGTATGTTAATTATATGCCAGACACTCTGCACAGAACCCAAGAATTATCCCAAATTTATAAAAACTAAGGCAGAAAGAGATTGAGATTCTTCTCCAGGGCAACACAGCAATAAAGTGATATGAACTGAAATGTGTTGGACTCCAGGGCCTCTGCTCTCCACTAGGTTGCTAGATCGTCTCCCCTTAAGCTATATTTTCCTGTCCATCCTCCTCACGGGCCATGAGAGTGAACTTTCTAAAATGGAAAGTTTGCTATATTAAGGAACATAACTTCATGAGGGGAGCTGCTATTAAGGCTCGATTCCAATGGCCCTCCTCTGAATCTTTTCTCAATTTATCTCTCTTTAATGCAGCCTGTGCCTCACTAGATTCTCACGGTCTGTGAGCCTTCCCAACTGCACTGGGAAGACTTTGGCTAAATTCCCAACTTGTAGCATAGCGCTTGGCATAGGCCCTCATTAGACATGCGCTAAAGAGAAAAGTTGGCAACGGGACACCAGAGGTTGGGAAGGGAGACTGGTCACATCTCCTTTGCTTCCGGAGAATTGGCACTTAGGGAGACCCCGCCTCCTCATTAGGCTCCACTGGCTCAGGACCTCAGAAGAGGTCTGGGGGCGTGGCCTGAGGGGCGGCACCTGCCGAAAAGGCGGGCAGCTGAGCGAGCGCTGATTGGTCGGCACTTTGGCGCGCACCGGAAAAGACTGTGTCAGGAGGCGCGAGGCCAGGCTAGCTCTGTGGTGGAAGACAGGGCCTTCCCCAGGCGCGCGTGCGCACGGCCACTTGAAGCCTGCCAGTCTCGCACCCAGCACGTCTTGGCAGGAACTGCTGAGGGCGTGGCCTCGCCTCAGGAGTTCGCTCTTGCTCTCCTCCTCAGGCCTCGCGCAGGAGCCTCGCGCCAAAGGGGATTCGCGTCCGCCTCACGCTTGGAACGTGGTGGCTGAGGCCGGCCTGAGGTTCGCGCACGCAACCAGCCTACCGGGGCCAGCACGAGACGCTGTCTGATCAGGCTCCCAAGTGTGGGGCTGGCGCAAAACCAGAAGGGCGCCATTGTGCACGTCCTGAGGCGGGTGCTGGAGGCCAAGGGGAGCGGGTCGGGTGGCTAGCCGGCCAGAGGGGAGCCTGGGGTCCACTTCGTGGTCGTGGCCTCCCTCTGGGAGTTTCAGGCAGACGGGAGGGCGGTTGTGCCTTGGGCGCCCGGGCCCTGGGGGAGGCAGGACCCGAGCAGCAGAGCCGGAGTTTGGGTTTGAGGCTGGGCCTAGGTTTGGGGATCCACGCTCAAGTCTGAGATACGAAGTCTCTGAATAGTGTTGGGGATTTGGGGGGGTCACAAGTTAGGATCTGGGGTCTCGGGATTTGTGTCTGGAGAGAACTCGTTTTGGAAATCTGAAGGTCTTGGGTTTTGTGGCTGGAAGCTTTCCTGTTGGAATCAGAGATCCTAGTCTGGGGATCTGGAAGTCTAGAATAGCATTTTGGGGGTGCGGGGTCTAATTTGGGAGGATTGAAGCTTCAGTGTAGATTTAGGGTCTAGAATCTCAGTGTAGAGTATGAGGTATGAGATTTAGGGTCTGGGGTCACAGTTTGGAGCTTTGAGAATTGTTGGGGCCTGCAGTCCCCCACATTGAGTATGAGGCTTCAATTTTAGAGTTTGGGTTTCAGAGTGGAACTCACGGGTGAGATCTCAGTTTAGGGTTGAGGGTCACAATTTGAGGGTCTGAAGTGACAGTTTGGGGATCTAGAGGTCTTGGTTTTAGGATCTGAGGTCAATTTGGGGGACTGAGGTTTGCTTTGGGGAGATTGGATTTCTTACTTTAGGGTTTGGGTTCTCAATATTAAAGTTTGTGGTCTGTGTTGTTTTCTTTTTTTAATTAATTTATTTTTATTTTTGGCTGCGTTGGGTCTTCGTTGCTGCACGTGGGCTTTCTCTAGTTGCGGGGAGCGGGGGCTACTCTCCGTTGCGGTGCGTGGGCTTCTCATTGTAGTGGCTTCTCTTGTTGCAGAGCACGGGCTCTAGGCGTGCGGACTTCAGTAGTCGTGGCACACGGGCTTAGTTGCTCCAGGGCATGTGGGATCTTCCCAGACCAGGGCTTGAACCCATGTCCCCTGCACTGGCAGGCGGATTCTTAACCACTGAGCCACCAGGGAAGCCCTGGTCTGTGTTCTTAATACTAGGATTGGGTTCATATTTGGAGATCGGAAATTAACAGTTTGGGGGTCTAGATCATCTCAGTATTCGAATTTAGGGCGTTTAGGTTTGGGAAGGCCTCCTTTTTATGTTCTAGGTCCTCACTTTGGGAGTTTAAAGACATAGTTTTAGTATCTTAATATCACAGTGTAGAGATCTCAAGCCACAGTTTTCAGATGTGGTTCCCATTGCAGGGTCTGACATTTCACTGTTAAGACTGAAGTTCTGAAGTCAAAGTTTGGGAATCTGCTCCTTTTAGTTTTAGGTCTGGATCGTGATTTACGGGCCCCAATTTGCAATTTGAGATTCATGGACTTCAGTTCAGAGTTTGGGCATTTTAATTTGGTCTCTTGACCTGTGTTTATGGGGACTGGGGACTTATTTTGGGATCTCTGAGTGCTCAAAGGAGTATGATGGGGGAAATGAGGCTGCCCGTCAAGCTGTGCATTCCTCCTGGAATCCCAGAGGTCACTAATAATCCTTTCTTTTCCCCTCTTTGCAGATGTGGAATTCCAGCAAGCACTTGTGTTTCCCTGAACAGCCCAGGACCAACTTCCTGGGTCCCAGGAACAGGTAAGTGTTCCCCCGGCCCACCTCCCTCACAGCTCCAGCCACTCTGGTTGAATAATAGTAACGGTAGTGTTTACTGAGCGTTTACTAGTTTGCCAGACTTTTTGCTAAGGCTTTTGTTTGTATAAAATCCTTTAATCCTTACAACAACTCCACGAGGAAGTAGGTGCGAATATTACCGCCATTTCAAGATGAGAGAACTCTGAGGTAGTTGGCAAAGATCATCTCTAAGCCCTTGCAGGTTTTGACATCCTGATTTTCTTAAATGCCCTTCCTTCCTTTCTTTAATTCACATATTCATTTTGCCATCAATCACCTACCAAGTGTCAGGAATCGTACAGAGGGGATTTTCCTAGCAGATTGAGGGTTGGATCAGATTTCTCCCTTCCTCCAAAGTCTGGATAAAGAAGAGAGCCAGAGTTCATCTTATTCCCCACTGTCTTCCCCAGTGACTTCCCGCCCACCTATGTCTTCATTTATTAACTCCAAAAATAAGTGTCTGCTTTGTTCAGGTTCTCTACTTAGGTACTGTGCTCAGAAGGGGCAAATGAAGAAAATGAAGAATGCCTCTCTCGCTTGCCTTTTCCTCCTGGAATTCCAGAGGTCACCAACAATGCATTCTCTGTCCCCCCTTTCTAGATGTGGGGTCTTTGTATTAATAAAGACTCTTAGTTGCAATTAACAGAAACCTAGCTAAAACTGGCTTATGCGTAAAAGGGGATTTATTGGATCCTTTAAACAAAAAATTCCAGGGCATCAGGCTTGGCTGGTTCTAGTTGAGGAGTTAAATGATATGGCCAGGAATCTGCCTCTCTTTGCTCTGCTCTTGTCTGTGTTGGCTCTCCATTTGTGAGGGCAAGATGGTTCCCAGCCGCTCCAGGTCCATATCCTGCCAACTTGACAAGCCTAGCAGAGAGTCTCTTTCCAAGATCCGTTGACTCTGATTGGTCAAGCCTAGGTTACAACCGCAGTCCTGAATCAATCACTTGACTTCTTGGCTAGACCTTGCTTCAGTGCTCCTTAGTGGAAGGGGAGGTTGGGGTCAGCTTCTCTGAACCATATGGACTGAGAGTGGGGAGGGATCATTCCCCAAAGGAAACTATTACCAGAAAAGGGAGGAATTGGATGTCGGTCAACCAAAAACAACAGTTTTATCAACAGTAGTCGTCCAGTACAATACCCCCACCCCATTCTCCAACATCCCTTATCCCTAAATCTTTCTAACAAATGACTGTCTACCTTCTGTCTTGAACTAACATTTCGTGAGCGCTCCCTATGTGCTAAACACCTTCTGGACAAGATCACACTTTCCAGCCACCTCCATTTTGTAAATGAATTATAAACAGGCTCAGAGTGATGAAAGCACTTGCCCAAAGTCACACAGCAAGTGGCAGAGCTGGGATTTCAACCAGATCTGTTTGCTTCAAAAGCTGAAGCTTGTAACCAACTATTATGCTGCTTCTTGGGACTGCCCCCCGCTTTGTCCCACTTTGGGACAGCTCTTACTCTTAAGTTCCTGCACATGTTAAAGCAAATTAGGGTCTGGGCCTTGGTTTTCCCATAGCTAATGTGAGAAATTTGAACTGGCTCTTGATTAAGGCTTCTTCCAGCTCCTGCATGAAAAACACATTAAGGGACTTCCCTGGTGGTGCAGTGGTTAAGGCTCTGTGCTCCCAATGCAGTGGACCTGGGTTCAATCCCTGGTCAGGGAACTAGATCCCACAGGCCGCAACTAAGAGTTTGCATGCCACAACTAAGGAGCTGGCAAGCCGCAACTAAGGAGACCACGTGCCGCCAAAGACCCAGAGCAACCAAATAAATAAATAAAATATTTTTAAAAACACATTAAAAATTATAGTTTATGACAGCACTGGTATAAATATGAATATAATCCAAGTTGAATTATATTCATTTATTTCTCTTCTGGTTTTAAAAGAAATTAAAACATTCTCAAAGCCCCTAAAAGTAGCACCAGCCCTAGGCACTGTGCTTACGCTACCTGATGGATAAGTCAGTCCGGGATATAACAATAAATAAAAGAGACAGGGCTTCCCTGGTGGCTCAGTGGTTGGGAGTCCATCTGCCGATGCGGGGGACGCGGGTTTGTGCCGTGGAGCGGCTGGGCCCGTGAGCCATGGCTGCTGAGCCTGAGCATCCGGAGCCTGTGCTCCGCGGCGGGAGAGGCCACGGCGGTGGGAGGCCTGCGTACTGCAAAAAAAAAAAAAAAAAAAAAGAGACAAAAATCCCTCTCCTTATGTTTATATTTATAAGAAAGAAAGAGAGAGAGAGAGAAGGAGAGGAAGGAAGGAAGGGAGGGAGGGAGGGAGGAAGGAAAGAAGGAAGGGAAGGAAGAAAGAAAGAAAGATTTCAGATGCTGATAAAGGTTATGGGGATGTGACCAAGAATGTGCTTATTTAGATCAGGTAGTCAGGAAAGGCCTCTAGGGAGATTACATTTAAGCTAAGCGCGGAATGGCAAGAAATCAGCCGTGTAAAAATCGGGGCAAAAGAACATTCCAGGTGGAGGCAATGGTAAAGGCCCTAAGGCAGAAATAAACTTGGCAGTTGAAAGAAGCAGAAAAAGACCCATGTGGCCGGAGCTGGCCTGTTCCCCACAGAATCAGAGGGCAGAGCTGGGATTAGTGGGTGAAAATTAAACAGACTCTGAGGAAAGAATTTGGCTGAAACCAAAACCATCCAGCCAGGAAAGGAGCAGCCTTGAGAGCGAGTGCCCAGTTCCCTGAGGCCCCTGTGAGCAGAGCCCCAGGTCACACCTCTTCAGGACCGCTGCCCAAGAGCGGCCAAGATTTTGCATTTCCTAGTCACCCTTTTTCTCCCTCCAATTTTTTTTTTTTTTTCCTGGAACTCCTGTGTTTGTGCAGAAGGCTCGCTCAGTGCTTTGCAAAACCCAGAGGAAACACCCAGGGACTAGTTGATATGAAACCCTTTTTCTCAGACATGGTCAAATAGCACCTTGAACTTAAATAGACCTGGATACTTTTTCTTCCTGGCTTTCTGTGCTGTTTCTCTTTGGAGTTTCTAGGGAGTCCTCTAGAACAGCAGGAAAGTTGCATGCAGAAAATAAATATCAGGGCCAGGCAAGACGTTAGAGGTCAGCCTACCCAGTGTTTCTCCACGGATAGAAACCCAGCACCCACTCTTGCCCCTCGAAATTATGGTTTCTATCAGGAAAGAACTAGAGACCAATTGGTGGTTTTGCTTTTCTTTCATTCCTTCATTCAGCTGACTAATACGTATAGTCTCCTGTACTCGTGGTGGTTCTGGGAGGGTGCACTAGAAATGCCATCCCCTGCAGAAAACACGTTAATGCTTCCCGTTGGGCTTCAGATAAAGGCATAACTTCATACTGTGAGCCTGTAAGACCCATAAGACCCTGCGTCATCTGGCCCCTACCTCGTCCTCCAGCCTCATCTCACCCCACAGGACTCCTTGCTTTCTGTGCTCCAGACACTTCAGCTTTATTTCCTCTGACTTCTCCATGCTCCCTCTGTCTGAAACATTCCCTCTCCCCCTCCACTGATGCAGCTCCACTCATCCTTCAGAGCAGCTTCTGGCCAGGTTTCCTTCCTCTGGAAAAACCTCATAGGTTAGATCAAAACCACCTATCACAAGTTTCCATAACACCGAGCAGCACCTCTCCTTTGTCCCCAGGAGGGACATGTGATTCATGCAGTCACAGAGCCCTGAGCTTAGAAGAGCCCAATGCTTGGTGTAATGCTCTGCTCTCACCATCTTGAAATTCTTCACTTTTTTTTTTGGCCAGGCCGTGTGGCTTGCGGGATTTTAGTTCCCGGTCCAGGGACTGAAGCCGGGTCCTCAGCAGTGAAAGTGCGGCGTCCTAACCACTGGACCACCAGGGAATTCCCAGAATTCTTAATTTCTGAACAAGGGGACCCACAGTTTCATTTGCAATGCCCCCACCCCCAGCAAATTATACAGCTGGTTCTGGTCCTAGTTGCCATTTTATGTTTATTTGTGTGACAATTTGATGAATGACTTTATCCCCGACTGCATTGTAGGCTCTAGAAGGGGCTGTAGTTGTTTTATAGTCTTCTGTCCCTGTCACCGATCACACTTCCTGGCACATAGTAGGGGCTTACTAAGTAATTGCTGAATGAATGAGCGAGAACGATTCTTTCAGGACTTCAGAGTTGGGTTAGGGAGATAAGTGTCTCCCACACTGCTCCCCCATGTCCTCGAGGGCAGGACAGTGATTCCTCTCCCTTTCCACAGTGTCCAGCACAGGGCCTGGCAAAGAGGGGGTGCCAGTTCGTGGGTCTGAGTAGGAACCAAAGATACATCTGTAATCAAGGAAGTGTTTTGGGCTGGGCAGTGCTGCAGGTGACACAAAGTGTTGTGGACATTCAGAGTCCGGGAGAAAAACAAGGGAGGTCGGGGGAGGCTTCCTCGGGTGGCAGTTGAATCAGGCCCTGAAGGAAGGTGAGATAAGGTTTGGTGGAGACGAGGTGTTTGGGCCTTCCCAAAGAAGTAGCAGGAGTAGTGGCAGCGGTGTGTAATTTGGGAGAGAGACTCCAACGTCTTTGTGTCTCCATCCGTCAGGAGAGAGGGGTACAGGTGTGCGTACATGGATTATATTATGAATTATGGGTTCAGGGATTAGATCCTGGAAGTTCTGCATCTGCTCAGGAGTCAACTTCTTTCATGCCCTTATTTATTCAATCATTTAGCAAATAGGCGATGACTTCCCGCAGTGTGCCAGACCCTGTTCTAGGTGCTGGAGATACAGCGGTGCCCCCTACTCAGCTCTCCCCCAACTGCAGGGACCAGAGAAATGCATGAGCACAGGGGCAGGGGGACCTGAGCAGAGATACCTCACCTGTCCTGTGGAGTTGGGGTCCATTGACGGGAGAGAACGAAAGGAAGTAAGAGATGAGACCAGAAGGGTCAGGCGGGCCAGGCCATGGGGGGCATTATAAGCCATGTTAAGTAAGGGTTTAAACTTGATCCTTCATAATGGGATGGCATTGAGAGGTTTGAAGTGCTTATTAAGTAACTAATGTATTCAGTCCTATTGGTAGCCCTCTGCCTCTGAAAGAATATCCTCATTCCTTTTGCACAGATGAGAAAACCATAGGCAGGTTTGTGTTTCAGAAAGATCACCGTGACTCTTGTAGAGAGTGTGGCTTGGAGGAAGCCAGATGGAAGGCTGGGAGAACTATGTCAGCACATGGACTAGGGCAGGAGCGAGGGGACGGAGAGAAGGGATTGGAGGAGGAATGGGCAAGATTTGGTGACTGATTGGACCAGGGGATGGGGGAGAGTGAGCAGTGCAGACAATGCCCAGGCTTCTGTCTTGGGTGCCTGGGGCAGGGAGCTTCTCTGAGCTGGGGAACACTGAGACAAGCGGTCTGGGGGGTCAGATGCCAAATTCCATTTCGGATGTCCTAACCCACACCAGCTCTTGCCCCAAAACAGGAGGGCGAGTAAAAACCACACCAACAAACTGCAAGAGCTGGCATTGCTGCTACCTGTGGCCCTGAGGACCAGTACCAAGAAGTTCACCAAGGTAAGGGGGCTGAAGGAGATGAGGTGGATTTGGGAGGCAGATCTGAACATATCAGTGATCGGGTTGACCTCCCTTGTCCTAGGAAACCTAGACAGACCCACCCAGTGACAGCACTGACATGGCAATGGTCCTGACTGGGAATTTCTGGGAGTCTGTGATCCCATGACTAGAAGCCTGGGGGATTCTTTCCTGCAAAGGAGGCAGGGGGAATTGGGAGGGGAAAAATAGGCAAGGTGCCAGGTCAAGGTCATCCCTCTGGGGGTCACGCAGCCTGCATTTGAGCCCTCCAGCCCCACACCTGCAGAACTCTGGGCAGCTCGCTCAGGTTATCAGCCTCTCAAGCCTCAGGTTTCCCAGCTATAAAACAAGAAAAAAATAACTCCTCCTACTCAGCGATATTGTGAGACCAAAGTGACATGATAGCCATGACAGGGCCTGAATAAATGTCGGTTCCCTTTCCGGGTGCCTTCTTTTGTGACTTTGTGGGGATCGTCTCCATGAGGTAGGGATAAAGCTTCTCGGTGCCTCCCCAGTGGCCACTCGATAAATGTTTATAGTGCTGAGCTAACACTTGCTCCCAGGACGAACAACTTAATATGAGACTCAGAGATCTGGAAGGTTTGGTGTGATGTTTTCTTGCTATAGTTTCTCTCATTCAGTCCCTCATTCATTCATTCATCAGCCATTTATGGAAAGATTGTCAGATGTCAGAAGCTGTTCTGCCGGCAACAAGGGGAAGCAAAGAAATTTGAAACCCAGCCCTCCTCCTCTGAGAACTTAGAATCTGGTCAAGAAGATAAAGATTTAGGGACTTCCCAGGTGGTCCAGTGGTTAGGACTTGGTGCTTCCACTGCTGGGGCCCGGGTTCGATCCCTGGTTCAGGGAACTGGGACCCTGCAAGCTGTGTGGCACGGCCAGAAAGAAAAAAAAGAGGAAGATTTGAACGCACAATAACTGATCCAACCTAGAATGTTATACTTGCCTTCAGAGAGGTTCAGGGCAGCGGGTGTTTGGGAGAGATTTGCCCGACCCTAACCCTATCCTTCTCCCTGCCAGCCACAGCCCATCCATCACCAGATCACGCTGCTTGTCTCTCCTAAATCCCTCTCAACTGTAGGTGCTTGTATCAGTTTCCTGTGGCTGCTCTAATAGATTACCACAAACTTAGTGGCTTAAAACAACACAACTTTGTTCTCTCAGAGTGCTGAGGTCAGAAATCCTAAATCAGTCCCGCTGGACTAAAGTCACGGTGTCAGCAGGAGGGTCCAGCGGAGCATCCATTTCCTCTCCCTCTGCCAACTTCTAGAGGCCGCCTATGGTCCTTGGCTCACAGCCCCTTCCAAGCCAGCAGCGTAGCATCTTCTAGTCTCTCCTCTACCTCTGCTTTTGTCGTCATTCGCCTTCTCTGCCTTTGACCCTCCAACCTCCTGCTCATAAGGACGCGTGTGATTACACTGGGCCCACTCAGACAATCCAGAATAACCTCCCCATCTCAAGATCCTTAACTTCATCACATCTGCAAAGTCCCCTTTGTCACACATAGCAACATATTCACAGGTCCCGGGGACTAGGACGTGGATGCCTTTGGGGGAGGCATTATGCAGAGCACCACAGTGCTCAAAAAATATCTGGGGGATTTTGCCCTCTGTCCTCCAACATTTGAGTATCTGGTGTGCGTAGGCACTATAAGTTCTTGTCGGGCAAGGCAGAGATGATTGGGACACAGCCTCTGCCCTGGAGGAATGACAGTTGAGTCAGGGCACAGGCAGCATTTCATCACTGACTAGATGACCACATCTCTTCGTGGAATCCTCCCCAGGCCTCAGCCCACTTTCTTTACCATTGATTCTCTGCTGTCTTAATAATCCCACTTCTTCCCCATCTTCATCCTCCCTTAAATTCATTCCTGGGCCCCCGGCTCCATGTACAACCAGTGTCCCACTCAGTCCCCAGCCTGCCTGACATGCATCATCACAGCTCGTCCAAGGGCTGTGTGACGTGCTCAGTCCACTGCTGAATAAACCGTGGGAGCTATTATGCGTTGTTTTGCCCGTGTTTGAGATTTAGGCTTCAGCTTAGGTCCGTGGTATCTTTCCTCACCATCCTGGCTGATTAAGTGCCCCTGCCCCATGTGGTCCGTGGCTTCCCATCCCTCTGACCATCACAGCCCTCTGCACATTACTGTGATTGTTTCCATTTCTCTGATTCCCTTTATCTTATTTTATTTTTGGCTGCATTGGGTCTTTGTTGCTGCACGTGGGCTTTCTCTAGTTGCAGCGAACGGGGGCTACTCTTCGTTGCAGTGCGCGGGCTTCTCATTGCAGTGGCTTCTCTTGTTGCGGAGCATGGGCTTTAGGCACGTGAGCTTCAGTAGTTGTGGCGTGCGGGCTTAGTAGTTGTGGCTTGCGGGCTTAGTTGCTCCGCGGCATGTGGGGTCTTCCTGGGCCAGGGCTCGAACCTGTGTCCCCTCCATTGACAGGTGGATTCTTAACCACTGTGCCACCAGGGAAGTCCCTCTCTGACTCCCTTTAGATGAAGGGTTCTGCAAAGGCAAAAACCATAATAGATGAATCTCTGTCCCCAGCACCCCAGGGCAGATAAAAATAACAGTTGCTCCCCATTGACTGGGAGTTCTATGTGTCAGACAGTGGATGCCAAGCTTCTTAGATACATTTTCTCTCTCTCTCTTTTTTTTTTTTTGAGATGGCTACTTTATTTATTTATTGGCCATGGCATGAGGCATGCAGGATCTCAGTTCCCCAACCAGAGATGGAACCCGCGCCCCCTGCAGTGGAAGCGCTGGAGTCTTAACCCCCGGACTGCCAGGGAAATCCCTACATTTTCTCATTTAATCCTCCCCGCAAGGCTTGTGAGATGAGTATGAGTATGCTCATTTTTTGGTTCGAGGAAACAGGAGCACAGAGGGGTCATATTGTCCAGAGAGGCACAGCTGGCTAATGGCAGAGTGAGTCAGACGTGTCTCATTCCAAAGGCCCACACCCTCCACCACTCTGTCACTCGATGCTCGATAGATGTTTGCTGAATGAATGAATGAATGAATTTCCCTCTGTTGAGACAGTTATAGTTTGCATCGATCTTACCTTCAGGAAGTCTCTGGGATTTGAACCTCTGGTGTAGCCCCTGAGCTAACCTTCCCAAAGTTTCAATTACCAAGCTTTCTTTCTGTCCTGAAATCTGAGTTGATGCCCAGTTGCCTTCTGCATAAAATCTTTGTGCTAGTAATAATAAGTGACACTTTATATTGCTTTACAGTTTACAGAGAATTAGCTTAGTGAATGCCCACCATGTGCCAAGCCTGGTGTTGGAGATACTAAGCTAAAAAGACAGGATTTGCTTTTGAAAAACTCATGGTCTATTTATACAAAGATAGAAAAGGTCTTTTTTTTTTTTTTTAGTAAATTTATTTTATTTATTTATTCTTGGCTGCATTGGGTCTTCGTTGCTGTGCACAGGCTTTCTCTACTTGGGGAGAGCAGGGCTACTCTTCGTTGCGGTGCGCGGGCTTCTCATTGTGGTGGCTTCTCTCATTGTGGAGCACGGGCTCTAGGCACGTGGGCTTCAGTAGTTGCAGCACGCGGGCTCAGTAGTGTGGGTCGTGGGCTCAGGAGTTGTGGGTCACGGGCTCTGTAGTTGTGGGTCGCGGGCGCTAGAGCACAGGCTCAGTAGTTGTGACACACGGGCTTAGCTGCTCCGTGGCACTTGGGATCTTCCCGGACCAGGGCTCGAACCCGTGTCCCCTGCATTGGCAGGCGGATTCTCAACCACTGCGCCACCAGGGAAGCCCCCAAAGGTTTCTATTTAATCCCTTGAGAAGCCGATGAAGGTGTTCTTTCTCATCCAGATATCAACTAAGCATTTATTGGACAACTGATTTATCAGGCTCTGTGCTGGGCGATTTCACACACACTAATTTATTTCGTCCTAATGATAATCCTCTGAGGCTGAATGAATATCCTCGTTACCATTGCACAGATGAGAAAACCGAGGCCCAGAGAAGTAAAATGACCCGCTCCCAGTGCACAGCCAGTAAGTGGCAGGTTGGAGCCAGGCCGCAAACCAATAATCTCTTGGCTGTGTCACGTTATTCCTTAGTTAGATTATAGCTTCCTTCCCTGGATCAGGTTAAATAAGTTCAGTGACTGTATTATATTTTATGGAACGATTTCACATAAGTCACCTCATGAGACCATCCTTTTTTAAAATTAATTTTTATTGGAGTACAGTTGATTTACAATGTTGCGTTAGTTTCTGCTGTACAGCACAGTGAATCAGTTATACATATACATAGATCCACTCTTTTAGATTCTTTTCCCATAAAGGCCATTACAGAGCGTTGAGTAGAGTCCCCTGTGCTCTACAGTTGGTCCTTATTAGTTATCTACTTTATATATAGTAGTGTGTATATGTCAGTCCCAGTCTCCCGATGTATCCCCCACCCCCCCAGACCATGTTTCCTGATTTGGGGTTGGAAGATTCCTGCTAACGGTTTTGTTGTTATTCTGGGGATCCAGTTCAATCCAAAAAATATTTATGGGTGTTCTTCCTTCACCAGGCTAACTCCTTTCAGTCTTCAGTTTAAATGCTGCCACTTCAGAGAGGCCTTTCTAGACACCCAAGTCTAATTTCAGAGTCACCTGTTATGCTCTTTTATTCATAATGCTTATCACACACTTGATCATTTTTTATGAATTATGAGTTTATTAAGGTCCACTGCCCTCCCTGGATTGTAAGTTCCATGAAGGCAAACAAAAGTATGTCTAGTTCACCCCTCCACATGGCTCTTAGTGGGTAGTATCTTTTTTAGCTTAGTGTCTCCAATACCGGCCCAGCCGGTATCTGGTGGCCGGTTGGGGGATGCCCGCTGATGCTGTGGGGAAGAGGCGTTCCTTCAGTGATAACTGACTAAGTCACCTCTCGATTCTGTGTGCTTGGGATCCAGAAATCAATTAGCTACAGTCTCTACCCTCAGCTAGTTCAAGGTCAATGGGAGAGAATGATACATAAACAGACAATTATAAAACACTGTGGCAAGTGCCTTGGTGGAAACAGGCCCAGGGTTTTACAAGAATGCAGAGGAGGGACATCTGACCCAGCCTGGGTGAGGGGTCAGGAGGGCAGGAAAGCTTCCAGAAGGGGAGAACACTGTGCTGAGGCTCAAAGGAGGAGAAGCCAGGGAGGGAGTCTGTGGGGAGAAGAGGAGGGCTTTGCGTGTGCCAAGGGCCAGGGGTGGGAAGCTGAGCAGTGTGTGTCCCCAATACTGGACCAGCAGGCGAGCAGGCCTGGGTTCAGATCCCAGCTCTGCCACTTCCTCTCCGTAACCCAGCAAGTCCCTTTAACGCTCTGGGCCTCCGTTTCCTTAGCTGTAACCGCTGGCTTACTGGGCCACAGTGAGGACTAAAGAGCAGAATAGGAACCTCTCTGCCAATGGGGGGATTGTTGGGGCAGGGTCCCCGGTCCCCAGCAGCCTCACATCATCTCAGGCCCCCGCTCAACCCTGTCTTTCTTTTGGGGGCAGAAGGAGATTCTGCTGCACGTCCTGTACTACATTCACTACCTCCAGAGAAAAATCGATGCGGCCAAGGCGTTGCTCGAATTCCACACCACCGATGGGAACGGTGGACTGGGGGGTAAGTAAGTTCAGCCGACGTTTCCCAGCACCTGCTACGTGCCAAGCATTGTCCTGGCTGTCAGGGACGCTGAGTGACTTAGACTGGTCCAGTCCTTCCTGGATCTCACAGCCTGTCTCACGGGACAAGTCAGAGGGATGTCCAAAGTGCTGTGACCCCAGAGGAGGGTGTCTGGGAAGACTGTGGTGGGAGGGGCCTCGGAGCTGGGCCTTTGAGGACAGGGAAGGGGGAACCATGCCAGGCAGAAAAAACAAGGTGAACAAGAGTCTGAAGGCACGAGAAGACACCTGTGGGACATCCGGGGACAGGCAAGCAGTTGGGTATGACTGGAGGGGTCGTGTAGCACCCAGATGATGTGCGCAGACTCCTGAGCCAGGTCCCAACTCAGGCACAGTCCTATCAGCTTCTGATAGGGACATGGGATTCCAGAAACCTGCGGGTGACCTACACTGCTCTGTGCCTCAGTTTCCTCATCTGCAAAATGGACCCATACCCCCTTTCTGTGTTTGTTGTGAGGATTGAATGAGTTAATACATGTAAAGAGTGCTGTAACACGGCGCCTGGAACAAGCCAGTCATCCCATGCCGTGTGTGCCGGCTGCTGTGGTTACTGGTGGGAGGAATACACGGGCAAGAGGGGTAGAAGATGAGGCAGGGACGAGATTCTGAAGGGCCTCAAGCGCCTGGCGGAGGAGGGAGATGAAGAAGATGAGAATGACTGAAGGCCTTTAAACCAGAGGAAAGCCATGATCAGAGTTACTTTGAGGAAGAGGTGCCTGACATCTAGCGTGGGGACTTGCTATTAAGTAAGAAGCTGGAGTGGGGGAGATGAGTGAAGATACTTTTAGGGGTGATCTGGATGGGAGTGATGAGGCCAATGTAGCACCGTAGCTGAGGGTGTAGACAGAAGTAGGTAAATTTGGGAGTATTTTTTTTTGGCCATGCCGCACAGCATGCGGGATCTTAGTTCCCCGACCAGGGGTCGAACCCATACCTCCAGCCTTGGGAGTGCAGAGTCTTAACCACTGGACCGCCAGGGAAGTCCTTGGGAGACATTAATGAGGAAGAGTTGAGAGGCGTCGGGCCACCCAGGGTGGGTGCTGGAGCCCCTACCATCTTGAGGAGGCTGGAGGAAGAACTGATTTGGGAGGCGGAAGACGGGGAAGCACCTGGGAAGTGCTGGGTCTGTCTTTCCTCTCAGCCGAGGCCCGGAATGGCCCTGAGGACAACGGAGTTCTCGCCTGTACTTCTGCCGCCTGGCTGCGCAACCTCAGCCAGGTCCCATCTCCTCCCGGGACCTCAGTTTCCCCATTTGTAAAGTCAGTCTGGGGACCGTGGCAGCCTCCCTGCTCCCTGTCCATCATGAAGTGCTGTCCAGAGGCAGCATTCAGGATGGATAAGGGTGAGGGCATCTGACCTGCCTCATTCTCCGTCCTGCGCAGGGCTGGGTTGGAAGCAGGCCACAGGCCCAGCAAAGTGGAGACACTCCACCCCGTCCAGCACCCCACACTCTCATGAGTCCCATCTTTGGGGAGGCTGCCAGAAACCTCGGAAGAAGAAGCCAGCCCAAGCATCAGGTACAAGCCGTCAGTGGGGACAGAAGAGGGTGCAGGGGTCAGATGGGAGCGGGGCTCCTTCTCCAGGACCGTCCCCACTCCCGGGAGGCCCAGTCGGCAATCCTGAGCCCTTGACAAGGCTCTGGATTCAAATGTGCCTGGGTTCAGCTGTGGTGCCTCCTCTTCCTAGCTCTGAGGCCTGGGGGTGGGTCACTCTTCTCCTGTGAGCCTCAGCTTCCTGGTCTGGAAATTGGAGGGCCTGCCACAGGGTGGCCCTCAGATTAGGAGCCAGGCGCACGCCGCTCAAGCAGTGCTTAAGTGATGGGGCACATGGCCAGTGCCCAGGAATGGAAGCTGCTGTCAGCATTTATCATCCCTCTGCCCAGTCATCCATCCCCAGGCCAGGGCAGCAGGGAGTGTGGGGTGACAGAAGGACCCCAGTGCGGGAGGCAAGTGTCCCAGGTCCCACCTCAGCCTTGCTACTAACACTACCTGTCCCTTCCCCTTTTCGAGCCTCCGTTTCCACGTCCTTAAAAAGGGAGTTGGACCTAATCAATGATTTCCAGCTCTGACTGCACATCTGAATCACTGCGGTGCTTTTTAAAATGCCCATTACCTGTGCCTCACACCCAGAAAGTCGGGCTTCAGTGATCTGGGTGGAACCTGGGCATCAGTATTTTCAGAGCTCGCAAGGTGATTCTAACGTGTGGGCAGGGGAAGGGGGTGTCCGACTAGGTGGTCTTTAACTGAGGATCTGGGCCTCTCCGGGAAGGACTGAGTGACCAGGCCAGACAAAGCTTTGAAGCAGGTTATTGGGCCCAGAGCAAAGACCCCCACCTCAGCCACTCTCCGGTGACAGTCAGGCCCCCAGCCCTGTCTGACGCCATCTCTCTGCTCTCCCAGAACGCCAGACCCGGGCCCAGAACCCTCGTCGCTGTCTGGCCCTGGACCAGCCTAAGAAGCAGGTGACCCCATCCCCAGACCAGAGAGGAGGAAACATGGTGGCGACCATCACCCCTCCAAGATGCCTCGACTCCTGCAGTCACCCCAAGGCTGTGTCATCCCCATCTCAAGGTGACAGAAAGGGAGGAAGATCCTGGCTGACGCTGCTGCATATGGCTGAGAACAGCGTCCACTGTGACATCTCCAGTTGGTGTCTTTCCTCTCCACTAACTTAACCACTCGTTTATATACCACTTGTCAGGCACCCTCGACGTCCCAGGCACAGTCCTAGTCGCCAGGGATTCTACAATGGACAAGAGAGACGCTGTGTCGCAGCCTCTTTCCAAGTTTCCTTTTCCCTTCAGGCTCTGTTGGGGGTGTAAGCAGGGGTCAGGGTCACAGAACTGGAGGCAAGAGCAGGGCCGCCTCGTGAGCCTTCCTTCACTTGAAGCAGCCAAACGCTCTTGTGAGTCCCCATCCCTTTGCCAGCTTGCAAAGGTGTGACACCCCCAGGAGATACGGGCGCGACTGGAAGGCGAGGCCTCAGGTCATCCTATTCCTCTGTCTGTTCCTTCAGCCTTTCCTCCCAGAGCATCTCCTCTGGGCCAGGCCACGTGAGCGGTGCTGGTGACAGTCCAGTGAAGAAATCCCACGCTCTCACTTCCTGGGGTCGCCCAGGAGGCTGTGGGAGCCCCAAGGAGGCGCCTGACCCACCTGGAGAAGGAGGGTGTCCCAGATCTTGAGCTAATCTTGTGACCTTGGGCCAGTTACTTGATATCTCAATGCCTCCGTTTATTTAACTGTAAATGGGTATTATAAAAACCGTACCCTTTGGTAAAGGGCTACCGAGTAGTATGTAAAACTTAAGATTAAAACCGTGCTGCCTTGGTGAGCACTATATACTTGTTTGCTCTCATCATCTTCATCATCATCATTCTGCTTAAGGATTTTATCTTCCTTACAGCTTCTGATAGGGACGTGGGATTCCAGAAACCTGCAGGTGATTCAGGGAGCCCCCAAACCTCACACAGAGGCCCCAGAGCCTGAGGTTTTGGCTGGGATGGGGGGAGCGATAGGCTGTGGCATACCCCAGCACCTCTCCGTCCCTGCCTCTGTGAGTCCCAGGATTTGGGCCAGACACAGGAGTGACCATCCTGACTTGCCCCCCCCCCCCCCCGTAGGCTGCTGTTGCAAAAACAGTGCCCAGGATGCGGGGCCTTACCCTGCCTTCGAGGCCCAGCAACGGGTTGAGAGGATCCATTTTCTCAACAGGACCCAGCCCCGTCCCAGGTAAGGGAAGCCCAGGGATGTGAGTGGAAGAAGCTGAGGCGTTTGGTGGGATTGGCTAAGGCTTGGTGAGAAATGGGGTCAATCACCACCCTCGACTGGTATCTGTGGAGTGAGCACCTCTGAGGGCCTAGCTTTGCGTCAGGCATCATGAGCTCGAGGGAAAGCCTTGCTTCCTACGTGTTGACCAGGGCCACATCCTCTCCCTGCCTCCCGTCCCGCCCTCTACCCTGTCCCCAGTAGTCACCTGCATGGCTTTTCTAACACACAAGACCTTGATCATGTCAGTTTTTGGCTTTAAGCTATTCCCTCCTGTTGGGTAGAGCCCAGATATCTTAATTAGCATTTGAGACCCTCTCTGGTCCCAGCTCACCTTGCCAGCCCCCTTTCCTGCTCCTCAACTGCAAACCTTACCCTTAACACCACCAAATATTCGCCACTCCCTGCGGGAGCCAGACCCGTGTCCCCTCTGGGCTTCTCACCCTTTGTTCCCTCTTCCTGGAAGCTTGATCCCTTCGTCCACCTGGAAAACTACCCATCCTTTAAGCTTAGCTCAGCTCGGTCCTCCCTCCTGCCCTGCCCACCGTCTGTGTCTTCCTCAAAGCCCCATCACAGCTCTGCCCCCGTGTAGTCAGCTCTGATTACAGCTGGCCTCTCCTTATAAGCCCTGAAGCTCCTTGAGGGCGGGCACCCCCCAGCGGCCGGCACGGAGAGATCCCTGTCTTAGTCCACAGTGGGTGACACTGAGACACCCAAAGGGGAAGGGGCTCGCCCCAGGGCCCACGGTGTTTCCAGCCCGGGGCTCCAGGTCTGCCTCTTCAATTCCTCCTCTTGCAGGCAGAAGCTGGTGTGCGATTACAGCGAGGAGGTGGACAAGGAGTCCCCAGATGCTGACCCTTGGCTTCCTGCCTGGACCCCAAAGGGCAGTGCCCATGGTGACTGAAGCTCTGTCTGTCCTCCTTGTACCCTGGAGTGGGGTCTTCTTGGTACCTTCCTTCTGAGGATGTCTGTGGAAGGGAGGAGAGCGGGAAAGGGATGGATGTCCGCTAAGCACAGGGATGGCAACACACAGCCTGCCCACTGTCCCTGAGCCATCAGTTGCCATGGAAGACGTTGCTGATCAATCATTACTCTTTCTGTTGATCCCAGACACTGCCTCAGAAGCTTTCTTAACACAGAGCTCCAGATAGCTAAAGTCAGTCTATTGAATCTGGCACATCATGATACTGATTTTTTTCCTGGCCATTCCTAACAAGACGCCAGGCACCGTGCCTCTTAATTTCCTCTTCCAAGCACTCACCACAAGGAACTGACAGTCACCTTTCCCCAGTGTCTGGCACCATCTGCTCAAAGCCAGCTGCTGTGCTGGGGAAGAGGGCAACCTCTGACACACCCTCGAGCCTGATATTTCCTTTTCAGGGAGCCCACTCGCCTTGGGGCCTCCCCAGATTGACGACTGGAATGCGACAGGCCACCGGAGCCAGATCCTGGGGCTCAGCCCCTCCCTCTTCAGCTCCCCGGCGAAACTGCAGCCAGAACAGATCCTGGAGGATGGCGCCAAGCACCTGACCCAAGGTGAGCACCGTGGTTCATTCAGAAAAAACACCTGCAGTGACACCCACCAAGTGTGCAGCCCTGTGCTGGCAGTGCTGGATAACCAGGGATGAATCCCATCCCAGCCCTCAAGGAGCCCACAGTCTGGTGGGGAGCAGCCCCAGGCCAGCGTGGCGCATGGAAGGCTCCAGGAGCCTGGAATAGGGACCCACTCACTCTGCCCAGGTTGGTGGTTCCCCACGGGAGCTGGCCTGTGAGCCGGATTTGGACTTGGGGCAGAAGATCCCAAAGCCAAAGCCAGAGAAGGGCACTCCGGCTAGCAGGGGCGGCGGGACAGGCACGGGGCCCTGAGAGAGGCATTCCCGCCCCAGCCACCCCTCTGGCCTCCCTCCCCGCCCCCGACAGCTCTCTTTGAAGAAGTATTCTTAGATCCTGCGTCTTCGCCTTCTGCCTGCACGCTTGAGGGACTACAGAAGAAGGTAGGTGTCTGCCCATGCATCTGTCCGCACACACGTCCATCCTTCTCTCCACCTGCTTGATCCACTCATCCGTCCCCTCGACCTTTCAGCTCCTCCCCCACTCACCTGTCCATCCATCATGCTTCTCCTCATCCTTCCAGAGACTCACCCACCATCTGTGCCCTCACCTGCCTGCCCATCCTTTGAACACTCCCTGCTGGCCACCAGGCGCCCTGCTCTGTGCTGGGCCCTTAGAATGAACCAGACACAAAGGATAAAAGCTGAAAGCTGCCAGGTGCCCAGAAAAGACCCCACATAATTTTATGACTGCTCTATGAGTCAGGCTCTCTTGTGAACCCATTTAACAGATGAGGAAATTGAAAACAGCCAGTGACCCCCAGGATCCTCAGTTGGAAAGAGCCTCCTTCCCAGGCCCCCGGGCTGATTTCTGTAGCACCGTCTGCTCCAGCAGTTCAACGTCTGACTGCCAGAGGGGCAGCCCCAGCTCCGGTCCCCAGTGTGTGGCCCCCTCCAGTGTGTGGGAAGGTGGCCCCCTGCCTCAATGAATAGCTGAATCTGCTGTAGAAACAAAAATAGACACCTTTAGCAGAGCTCTTGGAAGTGCAGCCACTGCACCAAGTGCCTCTCGGCCTTGCAGAGGATGTGTAGTGACACCATCTGTGCATGAAACTGAGGCTCAGAGGAGTTAAGACTTGCCCGGGGCATCACAGCTGCTTTGCAAGGTGGTAAACTGATGGGATTGAGAGAGAGTGCCCCAGAATAGGAGGCAGAAGACCCCCATCCACCTCCTCTCCAACCCCCTGTGGGAACTGGGGAAACTTAGCTTGAATTTCTGAGGAGGCATCTGGAGGCTGTTTTGAGCCTGAGCTGTTTGTGATGATGCTCGTGTGACCTCCTAGGAAAGCAGTGAGTGGGGGCCATGAAGGGACAGCACTGTCCCCCTCCGTCTCCTCCCATCTTTCTCCTTCACCCCCCAGGACACACCCCCTGAGGCCCCCGAAGACCTTCCCGACTCCCTCAGCCGGTGCCAGTCCTTGGTCTCGCTGGACCACTGCTACCTGTCGCTGTGTGAGAACAGCAAGGAGCTGTGCAGCCCCAGCTCGGAGGACACGGACACAGACTCGGTGTGGAGGCAGCAGGAGGTGAGGGAGACAGAAAGCCATCCGCCTGGTCAGTCCGCGTCTCCTGCCTGCCCTCACCTCTCTGTCTCCCACCCAGGATGTTCAGGCCGACCTCGAGGGCCTGCAGTCCTCCAGCGATGAGGATGAGAGTTATACGTGGACCCCCACCCAGCGGGCCTCAGCCCTGCCCGCAGCCGGGAGGAAGGGCAGGGCGGGCAGGGGCCTTGTGAAGCCCAATGAGAGCAAGCAAACCCCCTGCCCCACCCAGATGAAGAAGAAGTGTGTCAACGGCTTCATCATGTTCTGCAGGATGAACCGGAAGCAGTACATCAGGTGGGAGGGCGTCCTCTTCAGCCCCGATTGGGGCCCTACCTCACTGTCCATCCACCGGCAGAGCAGGCCACCCACTGCTGCCGACACATTCCTCAGCCACGCTCTCCCGGCCTCCCCCGGCCCCGTGGCACTGGTCAGGGCCCGTGCACTGCAAGCAGGGAAACTCAGCTCAGACTTAGGAAAAATAGGAAACTAACTGGCTTGAATTAATTAATATAATTAAATTAACCTGAAAAAAGAGGAGCCACCTTCAGACGTGGTTGGTCCTTGGGCTCAAGGGACGCTGCCCGGGCTCCTCGTCCCCCTCCACTCCGCACTCTGGGTTGGCTTTGTGCTCCATCACGCTGGGCTGGGCTGGGGCAGGCTCTGCCGCAGGAGCTCCAGGCTCGTGTCCTGTCTCCCGCCCCAGCAGCCCTGTGGGAGGAGAGCTCCTCGTTTCTAAGATTTCAAGCAAAAGTTCTTGGGGCCGACTTGACATGATCTATCAGGCACCTAGCCCTGAACCGATCTTGCCAGTCTGCAGCCTCCGTGGAGAAGAGGTGGTGCTGGTATTGGAGCGGCGGATACAGGTCCCAGGACACGGGGTGGCCCCTTTCCAACCACCATTTAGTCCAGCTGCCTTCAGGGTGCGCGAAAGGAGGCATCTTTCAGGGCAACACGGAAAGATCCGAGTTCTCAGCTTTGGAAAGCTGTGGCTCTGAGAGGGCCAGGGACCCTTGTGTGGTCACACCGTTGGCCTTCGCCCAAGCCAGGCGAGGCTACAGGCCTCTCCTCACCTCCTCCTCCCTCCTGCCCCAGAGCCTGCCCTGGGACCGCATCCACGACTGCCACCAAGGAGCTGGCCCACCTCTGGCGGATGATGACCCTGCAGGAGCGGAGACCATATTGGTGAGCAGCCCCTGCCCAGAAGGTGTGGGTGGCAGAGGCGAGGCCCCTGCTTCTCATCCTGCTCTGATGTTCAGAGCCTTGAGCTCTGTGATGTTGGAAACAGGTTGGGAGTTTCCTCGGGCAGGAGATTTGGGTGTCACAAGCTCTTATGAAAGAGTTGGGGTGACAGAAGCAGAGCGGCACTCTACCCCTGGCTGTAACTTCGAAGGGCAAACAGCTTAATTCTGGATTTGGACCCCACTGCCCTAAATTTCCTTTGCCCTCTCTGCCACAGGGAGTTTCTCAGAGCAGAAAGCTGGGTCTTAACTTCCCTGTCGCTTGGTCTCCTTCTCTTCTCCTCTTGATGCCCCCTCCCTCCTGAAACCCTCTCCTCTCCACCTGACCAGCTTGCAACTGGCCCCGGAAACACACGTGCACGTGTGCAGATCGTCCTCACGGGAGCCAGTGGCTCCCCCGCTGGGGCCAAATAAAGCCCTGGACGCCCCCTCAGCCCAGGCCCTGGTCACTGCTGGGGCCAGAGCACTGGGGGTGGGACAGAGATGGTCGGGAGGCGACCGAGGAATCCTGTCCATCCTGCCACCTCTCTCCCAGCACCAAAGCGCGCAGGTTCAGTCGCCGGCACAACCGGATCGTGAAGAAGGTCAGCTCCAGCAGCGAGGACGAGGACTGGGAGACCCCCAAGCCCTTCTACCAGCTGCTGGCTGAGAAGGCCCGCCGCCGCTATACCGCGCGTGAGGGCAGCCTCACCCCCTCCGCCACTGCCTCGCAGCTCCTGCAGCCGTGGTCTGAAACGAGGCGCCGGTGGTGAAGAGGTTGTCTCGTCCTGGGCATCACCGCCGCTAGTGCAGAGCCCCTCAGTCAGGCACCCCCAAGTTGGGAGGCGGCTATTTATTGACCCCGGTGCTTTGTGCATTTGCCTTGATACGGGGCAGCCAGAACTTCTCCCGCCCGGGGTAGCAGGCGTCTCACAGCCCCTTTCAAGCCTGGCCTGGCCTATCAGAGGAGCCGCAGGTGGGGAGGAAGGCCCCCCCTCCCGCCCCCACCACCCCCAACAATGAAATGCAAGGAGGTGCAGTTGCCCTCTGCCTGTCCTTTACCCAGCCCAGAATCAAATGCTTTCACCCAGTTGTACCTCACTCTATGCCTCCGGCCCTGTTCTATTTATAGTTCTATTTATAGATTATTTATTGTTTTTAACTAAATAAAGTGGAAACTGTTACCAGCAAGAGACAGGGCCGGGCCCCTGGTCTCCTGCTTTCTCAGCTCTGCTCACAGCAGGCACCTTCCCAAGCAGCACCACAAATCTGACCTCCAACCCTGTTCCCCCGAGAACATCTGGTCAGAAAGCCAGAGTCTCAAGGTGAGCTTTTTGTGGTTCAGCTTTTCCTTGCGCAAAAGCCGTTGGAAGATAGCCCACACCCCCCGAGGTTCTAGTTGTCTGTTAACTTTATTTTAATTGAAATGAAGGCATAACATGTCCTAGAAAAATAAAGATTTAGGATATAAACTAGACACAGGGGTCAGGGTTGGCCCGAGGGTCAAGGGATCTTTGGTCTGGGGCTGGACGTGCTACTGAGGGCTCTAGTCCAGGAGGAGCTAACGGAGGACCCTGGCCCACAGACCGCACACCCGCATCCCTCATGGGCAGGAAGGGCCCGGCGGGGAGGGTCCATCAGTCTCCGGGCACAGGACTGCCCGTCCTCCACCCTCGGATTCCCGAGCAGTTCTGGGAACACTGGATGTCAGTGGAGCTATTAATAGTGTTTCAGGGAGTGATAGGGAGAGGGCTCAAGGGGGTTGGAAATCCAGCCATTTGGCAGGGCTTTCAGCTCACAGCTAGTACCAGGTCAAGGGGGGCAGAGCCCCTGAGTCAGGAGCCCCAAATCTCCCCATGTAGATCAGGAGGCAGAGCAAGGAGAGGGCTGTAACAGAGGAGGCGTCCCGTCAGAGCACGTTGCCCCGGACAGAAGTGGGCCTCCAGGGCGTGGAGAGGTTGAGCGGCCGCGGGGAGGGTGTAGTGTGTGTGGATGGCAGCCGTCTTCGTGTTTGAGAGGCTCCCTCCTCCCCGCTGTCCTCGAGCACCATTGTCATGGGAGGCCACGGGGCCTGGCGGGTCACAGTTCCAAGGGCTCTTCCACAGGCACCGACTGTAACTGGGTCAGGACCTTGGTCTCCACTTCCAGCCCCTCGTCAACCTCGCCCCCCGCCGTGGCCCCCAGGAGCAGCCCCTCGGGGTCGGGGTCCGGCAGCCTCAGCACCGTGTGGGGGGCCTGCGTCCCCAGCCCCTTCTCTGCCTCTAGCAGCCCCTCAGTGCCGGTGCTCAGTTCCAGCCCGGCTGGCCAGATGGGCACCGCCGCAGGCGACAGCAGGAGCCCCTCGGGCGGGGGCGCCTGGAAGCCGGGCAGGAGGCCGGAGGAGTCTGGGGAGAAGGGCAGACTGGCGGCGGCCGGGGCGGGGGGCGGCTGCGCAGACAGTGCGCCTAAGGCGTGGGCCTCTGGCAGAGCGGGGCTGGGGGCCACCGGGAGGGCTCCTTCGGGGACTGAGATGGCCGCGTCTGGCTTCAGGGGCAGGGCCAGGCTGGGGGCCGGCGACAGGACCTGGGAGACCAGCATGCTGGTGGGGAAGGTGGCGGTGAGGATGATCTTGCCCTGCTGCACGGCCACACCTGTCACGATGGGGCTGCCAGACACGGGGTTGGCCAGCAGGAAGTTTCCTGTGGGGAGAGAAGGGCCAGGCGCAGAGGTGAAGAGTACGCCGCTGGAGAGCAGGCAGGGAGATCAGCCAGAGGCAAAAGGAGCCCCTTCAGGGTCAGGGTGAGGCCAAGTCTGCGTGGCTCGAGCCTCAGGGTACTGCCTGGCACAGGAGGGTCTGGGACCCACCCGGGATGAGCTCCCCACTCCCCACCGTTGCCCCAGGAAGCCCACTGACAGCGCCATCCCTCCCTGAGGTAACTGTACCCCCCGCCCAGCCACCAGAAAGGGGTACCTGGGGCAGTGGCCGAAGGCAGCTGCAGGGCAGTCACGCCCACCCCAGAGTTTATCAGGTGCACGTTGGCAGGGCCCGGGGCAGCTGCCACCTTCACGGGGCTGCCTGGCCCAGCTGCCAACAGCTGCAGTGGCCCCACAGCCTGAGGCAAGGTCACCACCTGGGAGGTGGGCACCACCTGGGGCAGGTTCAACAGTGGGGAGGTGGGGCCCAGGCCGGCAGGGTAGCCAGGGGGTGGGGAAAGTGGCACCACTTGTGGAGCAGCCATGGAAGTCACTGGTCCTGGGGGCAGAGGAAAGGTGGCAGCCGGCGGGGGGCCAGGCACCACCTGGGGCAGAGGCCCTGGGACCTCCTCTCCAGGCGGCCCTGAAGCAGCCACCTGGGCCCCCTTGGTCTCAGGGGCTTCAGGCTGAGCCTCCTCCAGGCGAACCTCCCCAGTCTGAGGGTCCAGGACCAGGGAGGTCTTGCCCTCGCTGGCCCCCTGGGGGCTGGGCTGCGGTGCAGGGGCTCCCCCGCCCCCGCCGAGCAGCAGGGGGCCCAGGCTGGAGGCCTCGCCCAGGGCCAGGCTGTTGATGATGACGGGGCTCCCATTGAGGAGCACCGCTGGAGAGCTGCCAGCGGCCAGGAAGCTCCCGTTCACCAGGATGGAGGAGGAGGCGGGGCACGGCGCGGGAGGGGCGGCCCCGGCCAGGAATATGGAGCCCTGGGCGGGGGCCTCGGCCGCCACTGGAGCCGCCCCCCTCTCCAGGTCCTCAGGGCTGCGGCTGGACTCGTCCTCCGTAGTCGGGTTCCCATCAGATTCGCTGGCCGGAGAAAGGATTGTGAGTTGTGGTCCCGAATGCTGCGTTTCCCCGCTGGCCAGCCCGATTCCTGCACGGAGCCGGCTGCAAAGTGCTGGGAGGAAGCACAAGCCGCCCACTGCCTCCCCACCTTTCCCCAGCCCAAGTTCCTGTGCACCATTTCAGGGGGTTAGGAAACCTCCTCTCTGAGACCACCCAAGGGCCCCAGGGAGGAGCCTCTGCAATACCACTGACTAAAGGCTCAAGCTTGCCGCTTTGGGGGGAAGGAGGCCCTCCTCTCCCAACTCCTCGGCCTCAGGGCCCCGGAGGCTGAGCAACCAGGCTGCCTGAAGTCTCCTGAGTCGGCCTGAAAGGAGCCGAGTGGCTTTGGAGAGAGTAAGGAGGTAGTCGCCCGCTCAGTTCCCGGTGCCCTCCCCCGACCCCCCTCCTCCCCGGGCGTCTGAGGAGTAGGAGGCCGACGCGCAGGGTGGGAGGAGAAGGGCTTGGGTTACAGGGAAACCGGAGCTGGGGAAGGTTCACGTTTCACAACAAAGACAGAAGACGGACCACGCTGTTTGGGCCCTGAAGGGGGGGCGGGAAGGGGGGAGGTGAGACCGAGCGACGGTCAGGGAGGGCCTGGCCGCGAAGGGGACTGAACAAGCCCCTACGCCCGGTGGGGAGGACAAAGGCCCCTCCTCCTTTCCCGCAACCCCTCATTTTCTCACTGCCGCCCCGAGTCTAGCCGCGGACACGGATGGGATCTGGGACGGAGCCTTGAGTGGAGCAGAGAGAGGCGGTCTCCCGGCCTCCGCGAGAGGAGCATTGGTGTCCGGGTGTCTGGGAGAGCCGGGGCGCGTGCCCGTTCCATGCACACGGATTCCCCGCGCTCGGCTGGCGCCTGAGGGTGTGAGCGAGGGGTGTCCGAGGACAACAGGCATTGGGGGGGGGGGCTGGTGGATGGCACGTCTCCGGGAAAGCGGGACTGGCGCCGCCCGGGTCCCCTCACCTCTTGCAGGGCGCGCCGCCGCCGCCCCCGGTCCGGTCGCGCTGTCGTCGGTTCTTGAACCAGTTGCTAACCTGCGTGAGCGAGAGGCCGGTGAGCGTGGCCAGGCGGCGCTTCTCGTCCGGCGTGGGGTAGCGGTTGCCGCGATAGCAGGCCTTGAGCGCGGCGCGGGACCGCTCCTTGAAGCAGTAGACGGTCTCTTCGCCGTCCCAGATGGTCTTGGGCAGCGGGAACTTCTTGCGCAGACGGTACTTGTCCACCGCGCCCAGCGCGCGGCCGCGGGCCCGTTCGGCCTCGTGGTAGCGCGCGCGCAGGTAGAGGTCCTGCAGAAACGCGTGGTGGGCGGCGGGGAAGGGGCGGCTCTCGAGCAGCCGGTAGAGCTCGGCGTACTCGCCCCGCTGGAAGGCCACCAGGGCCCGAGCGCGCAGCACCGGATCGCTGCCACGTAGGCGCTCGGCCGGGGGCAGTGCGCCCAGGAAACGGCTCAAGCGGCCGGCGTGGCCCGCCTGTAGCAGCGCCTCGCACACGCACGCCACCTGTTCCGGCGAGAAGCGGAGACCCGTGGGCGGATCGGCAGCGGCCTCGGGGGGCGACCCGGGTACGCCCGGGGATCCCGGGCCCTCCACTTTCACCGCCGCTTCGCCCGCCCCGGCCCCGGCCGCCGCCGCTGCCTCACCCTCGGCCGCCTGCAAAGTCTGCAGAAGCTGGCGCGCTTCCTCCTCCTCCTCTTCGGTCGCCGCCGCCGCCACCGCCTCCCCCCCCAGCCGCCGGCCCCGCGCTCGGCTCCGCAGGCAAGGTAGCCATGTTTTGCAACTTTGGGAAGTTCCTCCCTCCTTCTCCTCCTCCCTCGGGCTTTCCCCAGCCCCCTCCCCCGCCCGGCTCCCCTCCCCGCACCCCCCCGCAACTTCGCCCTTCCCGATCTTCTCCCGCCGACCCCGCGTCTCCCCCCTCACCACCGATGCCAGGCCCAGTTCTCTATTAGGGTCTCTGTCCCAGTGTGTGTGTGTGTGTGCCCGTCCCCCGCCCCGTCTGTCCGTGATTCTCCCTTTGTTTTCCCTTCGCCTCAGGCCGCGCTTTTTGCCTCCCCCCCGCGTGTGCCTCTGGTTCAGGGCCTCAGTTTCCCCATCGGGACAACGGAGAAGGCAACAGGCCGTCCGGGAGGGCTAAGGGCGCGAAGCCTTCTCCGCCCCGAGACTGAGCTTCTGCACGCCTCCGTCTCCAGGGTCCTCCGAAGGCCCCCCTCACTCCCCATCTCGGCCCGCGCTCCGCCCCTCGGAATTCCCGGCTCCGCAGGGGGGCGGGTCTGGCTGGGAGAAGGGGCGGGGGAAACGGGCTAGAAAGTTTGCAGCAACTTTTCTTGAGCGTAAGTCAGTCTCTGGAACGGATGCGCGTGGCCCGCGCAGGCGCAGTGGTAGGAGGATGGCTGCGCTAGCTGCCAGCCCAGCCCCCCCTTCACCGCGGCCTGATGGCACAGCTGGGCCACAGCTGGACAAGAGGCGGTGCCTCCTGGTGGCCCGCTCTTCTTCTCCTATTGGCCGGATGTCGAAGCCACGCCCCGCATCCCACCCCCACCCCTGATACGTCCGCTTCGCCTCCCGCTAGCTTGCTGCCAGGCCATTGGCCACCTCCACTCGCCTTCCTATTGGCCCACTGAAAAGCCTCCTGCCCTCAAAGCAAACAGCGGACACGAAGGAATTTCAGAATTTTGGGCAGACGAGAGGGCCTTTTATTCGCGAGGATCGGGGGTGGGGTCCTAGGTGGGGAAAGACAATAAATACCGAGGAATGTCGGGGTCTCAGTGCATCCAAAATGTGGATTAGGGTGCTGGGGTCCTGGAGCCTGTCAGCGGGTCGGAGGAAAGGTCAATAAATACCCATACTGCCGAGGCGGGCGGAGCCGGCTGTGGCTCCGAGAACAGCGCACGTGAGGAGGGCGCGAGAGTCCCCGAAAAAAGCGGGGCTGTCAAAAGGTAAAGGCGGAGCTCGCGCTAGACGTTCACCGCGGCAAGAGAGTCTTCCCGGGAGGGCAGGGCCTCATGCACAAGGAGGATTTGTGGTTTGCAAGCCGATGTGGGTGGGGGTGCCTGGAGGGTGAAAGACAGATGCCGAGCCCTGGCCCTGCTGCCTTCTCTAGGTCGCAGCTTGCCCATCCACGTGGGATGCCTCAGCTAGGCCGGAGAAAGGAAGAGGTCCGCGATCCCCCCAGCAGCAGCAGCAGCAGCATTCCCGGCTACAAGCCTCCCTGGAGCCGCGGCCCCGGCTCCTCCCTCCCCGGCCGCCAGGGGGCGGGCCCGGATCACAGGGCTGGAGCTGGGGCGGAAACCCACGCTCGGAGTGCTGTGAACTGGGGGGCGGTGGGAGTGGCTTCTGGGCCGTGCCTGGGTCACCAAACCCTCCGGCGGAGCCCAAGTGGAGGACAGGCTCGGGTTCTAGGGTTCAGGCGGCGAAGGCGGCTCCCGGGCGGGGTCAGACTGTGGCAAGATAGCCGGCGCAGGCCACCAACCCAATGCAGCCCAGGGCGGCGGCACCAGCCAGAGCAGAGGCGAACAGGAGCAAGGAACGCGCCTCCGATAGGCCAGGCCTAGGGACCTGCGGGGAGAGGGCGGGGGTCAGCACCGGCGACGCGGGCCTCTGATTGGCTCCTGGGGCCAGCCCCGCCTACGCCCATAAGAGGGTCCACACACTCCCTGCACCTGCCCCGCCCCCTCACAGCGCGAGTAGCTGTGATTGGTCGGCTCGCAAGCCTAAGTCTTGTCCCAACTCCTCATTGGCTGCCTCCTAGAAGCCTGTGTTGATTGGCTGCCCGAGTATCCTCCCTCCCCGCCGCGGGCCCCACCCCGCAGAGGCGCAGCTAAGCAGAGGCGGCTTGGGGTACGTGGAGCTGGGCGGGGTCGCGCGACGGGCGGGCGTGAGCAGCCGGACGTACCCTGGCAGGGAGCAGCAGGTGGCGGCGGTGCATGGGGCCTGGCCCCACCAGCGGGCACTGGCCCAGAGCCACGGCCGGGGGGCCATCTAGCTGGAGAGAGAAGGGACAGGTGACCCGATCCGAGCCCAGCTCGGCACGGCCGCCCTCGGCGGGGTGCAAGAGACAGAGAGGGGAGTCGAGGTCGGGGAGGTCATCTAGGGAGATCCTGGATGGGATTTGGGGAGAGGCCTGAACCGAGGGAGATCTGGTAGATTTGGGCATGAATGGAGGGTGTCTGCTGACTGGAACCTCAAAGAGGTAGGGGTGAGCCTCTAAGTCTGGACAGGGGTACGGTGAGATGGGGACAGAGTCTGCAAAGGGGGCAGCAGGCTTGACGCAGGGGAAAAAGAGGGGTCTTACATGGGAAGGTGGATCCGTGGCCCGGGGACTGGGGACCCCCGTGACAGCTGGAAGGAGAAGAGAGAGGCATAGGGCGCGTGGAGGGACGGAGAAGGGCGGTGGCGCGGCGTGCCCCAGCCTGGGCCCCTCACCCTCCCCCAGGTGTATACACACGCCGCGGGCCCACCTCCCCGCCCACCCCCCCACCCCCGCCGGCGCCTCAGGAAAGGTGGTGGATGAGGGACTCGCCTGCGGCTCCCCCGGCCTGAAGCAACTCCATCCGCTCCTGCAGCTGCCGGACGTGCGCCTCCAGGTCTCGGTTACGGGCCTCGGCCTCGCGGAGTTGGCTACAGGGGAGGTAAGGATCATGAGCCCTTCGGGACTTCGGCTAGAGAGGCTGCTAAAGGTAGTGACTGTCCCCGACTCCCGACCCTGACCTGGCGAAGTTCTGGTTGGCCGTTCGGATGGCCTCCAGCTCCTGGCTCAGGCTCTGTCGGGTGAGCACCTCCTCCTCCAGGGCCTCCTGGAGTTCCCGCAGCGTCACCTGGGCCTCTGCCACCGCCTCCGGAATGGCCTCCGGAACTGCCGCTTCAGCCTGGGTATGGGAACCGGGCTTAGGGCTGCCTGTGGCTCCTGGAGCATTCGAGACTTAGGCATAGGTTCCAGGCCTGGGATCCTCCTTTGACCTCTATTCCTGCACCCCCGAGATCTTTCTGGAATCCCCACAGCTCCTGCAGTGATCCAAGCCCCCTCCTTCCCTAACCCAGCCCAGCCCTCATCTCCAGCCTTTAATCTGGTCTCCTCCCATCCACCTTCCACACCAAAGGGCTGTTCCTGTAACACTACGCAGCTTGACCATGTCCCTCCCCTGGAGAATCTCTCCGGCCCCTCAGTGCCCTCAGGAGGAGGCCCACCACATGAAAACTAAAGGCCCTGTCTGGTGTGCGTCTGCTGGCCCTCCAGCCTCCCCGCTCCTCACTCCTCACCCTCCTTCCTCCTGGAACAGCGCAGCCTTACTACCCTCCTTGCATGTTTCAGAGCACACCAGCTGGTTCTCCCCTCAGAGCCCTTACCCTTCTCTTTGCTGACCAATGGGTGGTCCTCCTGCTTCTCCAGGGCTTCCCCTCCCCAGAGTTCCCCTCCATGCACACTCACTGACCTGTTTTCATTTCTCTGTGGGGATCATTTCTGACTGAAGTAACCTTGTCTCTACTTTGTTTTCCATCTCTTTCTGTCAAGGAACCTCCCAGAGGGCCTAGCACTCCATGGCGCACACTATCCCTGAAGGCCTCCGCTTTTCTCTCGATTCGTCCCTCACTGACCCCCTCCTCTAAAGACTCACCGCTTCCTCTGGTGGGGCCACCGTGGGTTCCAGGCTGGGCTCTTGCAATGGCTCAGGCAGCGCCTCGGCCTCCAGTTCCATGGGCGTGGAGCCCGGGATCTCATCATCCCTGGGGAGAGGAAGAGGGCGAGGGGAGGAAGAGCCGGCCTCACGCCCGATCCTCTGCGTTTACAGCCAGGACTCCCTAGCCTGTGCCCTGGGGCAGCCAGACCTGAAGGCTCCAGGCTTGAGGAGGGGGAGGGGCAGAGTGAAGGGAATAAATGGCCAGGCTGGTGAGACAGGTCCTCCTCTTGTTAGGAAAAGTCCTGCGCCTGGCATGGCCTCAGGCCCCTGGAAGCTGGCCTCTGCACCTTCCTTGGGAACCTGGGGTCAGGAAACCCGTGTTCTAGGATCTGCCCATCTCCGTCTCCATGTGCGCTTTACAGGCTCTTCTCCTAAGGGCCTCAGAAAGTGAGGGAGACACTCCCAGCTCTGGCCACCTCCAAAGGGGTGGTCTTCAGACTGAGGGTTGGACCCCAAGCCTGACTCTAGACAGCAGCCACCCCTCCCACCCCCAGACCCAGGTGCTGGGAGGAAGACAGACCCTCCCAAGGAATATGAAATTGCAGTAAAAGTGATGTTCCCTCCAACCCAGCAGTCCCTCTTGTAGAAATATGTCTCAAGGACCCAATGATGCTCGACAAGCGCCAAGACCAACCTGTGGCTGTTCATCCAGCCTGGGTCATGGCAGAGGCGGGTTAGCTGAGTCCTGACCCGCCCAGTAAGGAGAACACTCCCCAGCGGGTCAGGATTGTGTTATAGTTTGTTCAAGGAATGGCACTTGCGGTACACTGTCCAATAACAAAACAGATCAGAATACAGCATGTTCTCGCAGCTGGTAAGTACGTGTGCTGTGAGCCAGGGACACACAAGGCCGCTGCTGGCGGCCTTCCTTTTTCTCATCCCTATTTTCTAATATACTTGTGATAAGCAATGTATTATTTTCAGAATCAATGTTTTAAGAAGGCTTTGTGGTTATGTAATTCAGTGAGTCCGTGTTCTTTTAAGATTGATGTAACAATTCTAAACTTCTTATTCTCTAAGATTTTGAGGTCCCATGACTGTATACTAGAAATCTAAAAGTGGAAGGTCAGAAGATTCCGGAAGGCTGAGCCTGTGACTCTGAGGTTTTACATTTGAATCTAAATTTCAAAGTACTTATGGTCCGAGAATTTAACGTCCTACAATTCTGGGCTTCTGAAAGCCCTTAGTCCCAAGACAATAAGGTTCCGAGACTGACCCTGCAATGCTCCTGGGCACCAACGGGCCAGGATGTGATAACCCCGAGCAGCCTCCTGGGGCCTCGGGAGGCAGGACCCCCCACCCCCACCCCACCCCCGTCCACTCCTCTCAAGCTGCACAGGGTAGCACTTACCCAAGGGCCATGCAGGAATAGGAGGAGTAGCCCACGAAAGGCAGGTGGACCCCCAGTGGCGTGCCTTCCTGCATATCCGACAGCGTCTCCTATAGGAGAGAAACACAGATGTGAGGTGACCAGCGGCAGTCAGGGATGGCCCCTCACTCACCCCTTCCCAGTCTTGGCTTAAGTGCCCTGCCACCCCCCCACCCCAGCTTGGGGTCTATCTAAAGTGGACCCTGCGTCATTTTCTTTCATTACATCCTGCTGCTTCCCTCAGGGCACTTGCCACAGTATAATTATATACTTCTCCAGACTGTAAGTAGATGAGGGCAGGGACCAGGGCTGATTTGGTCCATGTGTGTCCCCCGCTGTGCCCAGCACAAAGGCAGTCAGGCTGAACAAGCACGGGATAGCTCATACGACAGCTGAGAGAGAGATGGCCTAAGCAAGGGAGATTCCTCTATGGTGCTTTCTCACCTCTCATCCTTCCAGGTCTCAGCTCACATAGCCCCCTCCTCCAGGAAGCCCTCCAGGACCTTTCATGCTGGGTCAGGAGGCCCGCCCCCCTGCACCCCCCACCCCCATCTCAGCCCTGATCTCTCTGGGGCATCATTGTCTGGGGACAAGTCCGTGTCCTCCACTGGACTGTGAGTCTAGGTCACTGCTGGGTTCCCAGCCCTGGGGCCAAACAGAGCAGGTGTTTCTGGGGAAGGAATGATTTCAGGACCCCAGGAGGAGGGTACTCTCCTAACCTCAGTGTTACGGCGGTCAGATGCGGGGGTACCCTCTGCAGACCAGGGATCGATCGCAGGTACCTACCCCGCCCCCGCTCACCATGGCAGTGAGCCCGTCTTCCACCACATCGAAGTTGCATGTGTCTGTGGCACCCTCGAAATCCGGCGTAAAGGGGGGCGCGCTGTCTCGGAGGCTGTCCCAGTCAAGGCCAAAGAAGAAAGGATGCTTCTGGAAATCGCCTGCTCCATTCCGGCCCAGGCGCGTCTCGGGGGGACACAGCAGCTGCTGGATGAGATCGCGAACCTCGTCGGGGACTCCTGCGTCTGCCAGCGGTAGAGACAGGTGCTCCTGCTCAGAAGGAGGGGAAAAGAGGGGATGTTACCTGGGAGCATGTGCAGAGAGGTCAGGGGCTCCCCGGGCTGTGCTCACCTTGTAGTGCACGATCTTGCCGTAGGTCTCAGCCGTGGAGTCGGCGTAGAAGGGCGTCTGCCCATAGAACATTTCATAGGCGAGCACGCCCAGCGCCCACCAGTCACACTCGGGCCCGTAGCTGCCAGTCCCGGGCCCACCGCCCACGGCCTGCAGGATCTCGGGAGACAAGTAGTCCGGGGTGCCCACAGCCACCAGTGACCGCACCTGAGCCAAGAGGATCCGAGCTAGGCTTGACCCCGCCCCTCCTAGCTCTGGCTCCGCCCCCTCTTAACACTACCCTAGAGCTTAGTCCCTTCTTTTGCCTGTTCTAAGCCTGAGCCACAGGCAGGCTACGGCCTGGGTCGCCTCCTTCTTTCCCCTCCAAATCTAGTCCTGCCCTCACCCTGGCTCTGCCCGCACGCCTCAGCCCCGCCCCCACGCTGCGCCTCGGGTTCCTGCTCCCGACCCGTCATTGGTAGTCCGAGTTGCCCAAGAGCGGAGCACCGCTCACCGTTCCATCCGCCCGCAACTTGAGGCAGGAGCCAAAGTCGGCCAAGCGGATGTGGCCGCAGCGGTCCAGCAGGATGTTGTCCGGTTTGATGTCCCTGCGCGGAGGGAAGAAGGGAAGGGAGAGGGATAAGTGAGCCTCTCTCCTGCCATCTCACCAGGCTCCACCCCACTAGGCAGCACCGCCTGGGCCCCACCCTCTTAAGGACCACTCTCTCCAATTCCCGCGGCCTTCAGCCCCTGCAGCGCCCACCTGTGCACGTAGCCCAGCCGGTGCACCGAGTCTATGGCCATGACAATCTCGGCCAGGTAGAAGCGCGCCATCTCGGCCGGGATCCGCTCCCCAAACTTGCTCAGCAGCGTTAGCAGGTCCCCGCCCACGTAGTACTCCATGACCAGGTACTGGGAGGGGGCGTGTCACGGGGGGTCGGTACCTCGTCTGGGCGCCCACGGCCGATAGCCCGGGACAAAGACTCCCAGAGACGCCCCATCCCTGGGCAGACTCCGCAGCCCCAGCCCCAGCCCCAAGAGATCTCCCAGGCCAAATCAGAGACACGCCCACCCCCAATCCTCGTTCCCCCACGATGTCACTGGACAGAGATTCACTTCCCCCACCCCCGACCAAGAGAGTCAGGAAAAAGAGAACTCAGAGACCTCCCGATTATCCAGGGTATGGAGCCCAGATACCCCCTGCCCAGTGGCTCCCACATAGACTCTAGAGACTATATCATTCCAGGTAGTGCCCCCCGGAATCAACCCGGGGAAAAAGGCAGTAAGGGACATCTCCCATCCCGGGAAAGGAAGGCCAGCTCCTACCACACCCAGGGACTGCCGCATGCATTTCGAGGCAGCTCCCTGATCCTAGAACTTCCTCTGCCTGCCCACACCTCGATAACTGACAGCCTCAGGGGTGGGGGTCCGCCTCTCTAGTCGCCCGGCCTGGGCTCACCAGGTAGTTCTCGTCCTGGAAGGCGAAGTGCAGCTGCGTGATCCAGCGCTGGTCCCCGTTCACCAACACATCCCTCTCTTCGCGGAAGCACGACACCTGCGGGGCACCCGTTGGAGCTGAAGCGGACGGGGGTGGGAGGACGGAAGGGGGGCTCCTCAGCACCCTGTACACCCAGCCCGGCCGTCACCTCGCCTCTCTTCAGCATGTCCCACTTATTCATGATCTTCATGGCGTACACCTGGCCCGTCTGCTTCATCTTCACCACCGCCACCTGAAAGCCCAAACAGGGTAATAGAGCGGAGGTGGCGGGGAAACATCAGGCCTCCCCCAGATTGGATTCCACCCTTAACCCGGGCCAGACTTGGCCCCGCCCCCACTCGGCAAAGCCACGCCCATTGGCCTCAAGCCCCGCCTTAGGGTCTAAACTCAGTCATTCATCAATTTCTAAGGCCCCACTTCCGGAACTCCAACATCCCGCCCACTGCAGGAAAAGTCAGGTCTCTAACCCCACTGAGCTGCCTCCGCTGCTCCAGGCTCACCTCGCTGAACGCCCCGCGTCCGATCACCTTCAGAATCTCGAAGTCATCCCTCTGCAGTCGGGCCTCCTTAAGCCTCTCCGCGATGGGCTCCACTGGGGGGGAGGGGGCGAAGGGGCGGGGATAAGAACCGAGAATCCGAGGGACTGACACTGGAGACGAGGAGAGACAGTCCCACCTTCTGTCGCTGAGTCTCCCCTGCCCCTGCCCCTCCCCTTAGCACTAGTCGGCCTCCTTAAAGACTTCACATAAACATTATGTGAGGCTTTGGGGACCCAAAACTGCTCTTGTACAGAGAAAAGTGGGATGCCTGGGAACCCCTTTCTGGGACAGGACACTGGGCCAGAGGGCTCTAGGGGGTGCAGGATGGACAGGGTGAGGTAACAAGTCTGCCGAAGGGAGGCCCTGAAGAACAGAGGAAGAAGAAATAGGCCCAGTTCTTAGAGCTCCCTGGGCTTCCGGGCCCCTACTCCCGGTGACCCCGCCCACCCCCAGGGCTCTCATTCAGTCTGTTTTGGGTCATGGCCCAGAGGCTGCAGTTTAATCCTAGGCTCAGATACTGGTGGCTCTTGGACCACACTCTGGGAAACCCTGAGTTTAGGGCTAGGACCAGGAGAAGGAACGGGAGAGGGAGACAAAGCCAGCGGGGATCCGCATCCCGGCTCCAGGGCTGCAGGCACAGTCAAGTGTGCTATCTCTACGCTCTCAACTCCAGGAGGAGGCTTTACTATCACCCCTTATCTACAGATGAAGAACCAAGGCTCAGACAGGTGAAGTCCTCTGCCCAAGGTCCTACAGCTAGCAATGTTACAGAGAGCAGTTTGGGAGGGGGAAGGCGGAGAGTGGAGGCAGGGGGAGAGGGAAGCCTGGACTCCCGGGGGTGGAAGAAGCTGGGAGCTTCTGAGGCAGGAGGGAGAGAGCAATGGGTGCAACTAGGAATGAGGGAAGATACAGTGGGTTATGGAGAGGGTTCGGGGTTCAGGAAGAGTGGGCCAGCAGGGAAGCAGCAGCCAGGGCCCAGGATGGGGGAGGGAGGAGAGAGCCAAGACACTGAGCCCTTTTAAGGCAGCGGGAACCCAGGCCCCCTCCCCCGCCCCAGCGGCCTGGCAGGGGAGGGGCCGCAGGATGCTGCTCGGGCCACAAAAGGAGTGCTCCTTACAGGAGAGCTGCCCCCACCTCAGGTCTCAGTTCATCCTCTGCAAAAGAGGAGCTGAGAGAGTTACTAAGGGCTGGGGGGATGTGGGGAGAAGGTTCTCCCAGAGGCCAAGTGGTCTAGCCCTTGGCCTCCACCTTCGCATCTGCAAAATGGGGAGAGAGAAGCAGGGCCTGGGTCAGAAAGAGATGGACACAAGAAAAGAGGGAGCGGGAGAAGGCAGAGAGACAGGAAACAGGGACGGGGACAGGGACACACAGAGCCTAAGGACCAACAGCAAGCCACTGAGGGACAGACCAGTGGAGGGACAGAATGGCAGATGTTAGAGAGACAGAAACCCAAGTGAGCCTGAGCCTGGGCCAGGAGGGAGTGGGGCAGACAAGGCAGGAGGCTGAGGCTGAAGATGAAGCATCTTCCCTCTGGACCTGTCTCCAGGGGAAGACTTGGCCAAAAGGGACTTTGGGTGGAGAAGGAACCTACAGAGAAAGTGGGCCCACTCAGAAGAATCCTAATTCTTCCTCCTCCAACCAGGGGGTGGAGGGGGTGCTTGGTGGGGCCTGTGTGCAGAGCTGGTTCTCCCCGGGCCTGCCTGAGTCACCGTGCCCTCCCAGTGCCTGGGCACCTGTTGGAGCAGCTGGAGAGGCTGGCGCCGAACACCTGCCCGTCGGCCGCGCCCCTGGCAGCTGCCCTGTGCTATCCCTTCCGCTTGCCCCTGCGATCTGGGGAACCAGGGTGGAGGGCCACAGGGCCCATTTTGGTGGGGAGGGGTCCTAGAAGACAGGGCTCCCCAGCATGTCCCTAGGCCTAGACTTGGGAATGGGGTACAAGGGGACCATGAGAGGCTGTGCCCAACCCGGCTTACCATGGCTCCCAAGTCATGATTCTGAGTCATGGCTGCCCTGGCCTCTGTTCATCTCACTCTGCCCTGCCAGGGTGGCACAGGGGTAGGAATATGTCGCCCCAAGACCCAGCCCCAAGTTCTGGGCCCCTGAATGGGAGGTTTTCCCCGTGTCCGTCCTGCCCCCAACACCCAGCCCACACCCACCTTCCCCCTCTACCTTGCCCCCACCCCCGAATCTGTGGGGCGCCATGCAGGTAGGTAGGCACTCACCCCACTCCAAGAAGTCGGCCACATACTTGTCCTGGGCCAGGTCGGACGCGCCCAGCTCCTGGTGGACGCCCAGGAGAAGGTCGAGCAGGGGCTCCAGCCCCAGGAAGCTGGGGTCCAGCACCAGCTGCTGAAGCCGCCTCAGCCGCACTTCGGCTGACATGTCGGGCAGGCAGCACCATGGCCCCCTCCCCGGGCCAGGGGCTCGGGGTCCTCCCGTCACGGGGCCTGGAGGGCCCTGTGCAGGCCCTGGGGCCCTGGCTGCATGTCTGCCTGTCCCTGGCTGTCCCCTGGGCCTCTCTGGCCACTTCTCTCTGCTGGCTGCTAAGGCCTCCTCCCCTTCTCCCCACCCCTCGGTCCGGCCCCCTCCAGCCTCCCAGCCTTAACCCCTCACAAGCCAGGCCCCCCCAAGTTGCTCCTTCCAGGGCCCCTCGGAACGCTTCAGTGTGAGATGAGGGGTGGTGGAGAATCTCTACCCTCAAACTACCCCACCACTGAAAAGGCAAAGCACAGAGGAACGCTACAGGTATGACAGACGCCAAAGATGAGCCCGCCCATTCCCCAGAGGGGACCAATTGAGGTTCACAGTGATTTGGTAACACCCCTCCCAAGCTCTTGAGTTGGGAGGAGGGGAGAAAAAGGGGTGAGGCCTGGGAAGGGGGGCGGGAGGCCAGGGCAGCTTTGCGGGTGGCTCAGCCGAGGAGGCAGGCTTCGGGATGGTTTAAATTTAGCCCTCAGGCCCTCTGCTTTACACTGACTTGTTTTTGGCAGGAGATGGGGAAGGGGTGGTGAGAGAATTGGGAAGGGAGGCCCTCAGGAGCCAGGATCAGGGTGACCCACTGGCCAAAGCCTGGGGGAGGCAAAGGAGCCCCCAAAATAGCTCCTTGGACCCTGGCAGTGCAGCCACATTCCTGCCCAGGCTACGATTAGAAACAGAAACATTTCGGGGGGGTGGAGGGTAGAGCGGGAAGACACCACTCCCTGTGGCTCCAGAGAGCCAGCCAGGAGGGATTTTCGCTGTTCTTTCCAGGGTGGACAGTTCTCCCAGAGGAAGCCATGGTCTCTAATTGGTCCTGGATGCCTGGGCCCGGCCAAGCCAGGCCTGAGGCAGCAGAAGGCCAGGGCCTATGCTGTGGCAGCTCACTCTGGGCATCTCGGGAGCTGCCTGGGGGGGCCCCTATAATATCTGGACACTTTGAAACAACTTTTAAAACTCCCACTGAAGACTCTGAAGAGGGGGTCCTGGTGGCTCTCTTCCCTCCGAGAGTTTGGAGTGGGGCGAGGGATACTCTCCTCTGTCTGAAGGGCCCTGCCCGGGGCTGGCCAGCGGCAGATCCACCAGCTGTGTGCCTCAGGCACATCCCTCCTCTGGTTTTCAATTCTTCCTGCCCTCAAAAGGGGGTCTGGGGGGGAGGCAGGGCCTAGCGCTTCCTCTGGATAAAGTGGACTGATTCTAGGGCTGCATCGAAAGCACCCACACACTTCCTCCATACCTCCGCGGAAGGGAACAGAGACGCTGTGAAAACAGGGAACTTTAGTATAAATAAGAGGTCCTGGGGGACAGCGAGGACCCCAGGGGCTTCCATAATTTAACATTCTTCAAAAGCACAAGTAACAGCAAGGGCAGGGCGGGGGCCAGGGGAGGGATGGGCCACCCCCTGCCCTGCACACAGGACCGAGAGGTGCACTGCAGAGCTGGGGCTCTTGTGGGTGGGGAGTTTCTCCCCCAGGAGTGACCAGTCACATGCTGGGGACAGGGATGAGGCTAACACTGATGTTTCAGAGGAAGGGGTCATTGTACTTGGCAGTGGGTGGGGACAAGGCTGAGGCCACACGGGCCACTACATCCCCCCAGTGTCTGGGTCAGTCTGAGGGACCCTCTGCCCCAAATTTGAGCAGGGAGAGGGACCGGAGCAGTCCATCCGTCACGGTTAGTCTTGTTAATACGTTGATCCATGAGGTCAGCGGGGACGGTTATGCTAGGAGCTGGGGGCATGGGGTGGGGGACCCCGACATCCATGGCTTCACACTACTGTGCCGCTCGGGGAGTTGCCTGGTTGGGAGGAGATGCCCTGGGGAAGATGAGAGCGGAGACAGGAGGGGGTTAGAGACAGCCTGGGGCTCTCACCAGTCCCACGGGGCGGGGGTTGGGGAGGGGGGAAGCCAGCCTGGAGTCCCCCAGGCTGCTGCCACCCTGGCCTTGCCCTTCAATCCACCCCAGACCACCCAGACAGGCCGCTGCTCTAGGCTCAGGAACTTACATCTCAGCTAGCTTCCCTATCCCAGCAGGTGGCACTCTTACACAATTAAAGTCCTCAGGTGATCCTGAGCAAAGAGGATGGGGTAGGGGTGGAGGTAGGGAGGAGAGGGGGAAACTGGGGTCCCCTTCTGACTGCGGAGGGGGTCCTAAGATTCTGGGAGGGAAGAACTTAGGGACAGTCCTACCTCTACCACTGACTTGCTGGGTGACCTGGGCCAACTTCCTTCCCCTGTCTGGGTCTCGGTCTCCTCGTCTGTGAACTAGGGAGATAGAGGGATCTCTTTCAGGACTTACCAGATTCCCCAAATCCCAATGCCCCTGCCTCTGAGACTGTACTTTAAGTTCTAGGGATTCAGGACCCTACAATTCCAAAACTGCTCTTCCAGGGAGCCAGGCACAGCCCTCAGATCTGGCATCCTGGGCCCCAGAGCCCAAACCCTTAGGAGACATCTGAGAACACAGGTCCCAAGTTATAAGGCACCAGGCCCACACTTCACCTTACTAGCACCTTTCTGAACCCCATGGCCTACCCATCTTCAAGCTTCCCTGCCCTAAGAGGTGAGAAAGGTCATAAAGAGGCAGTGACTTGCTCGAGGTCACACGGAGCAGAAGTGCTGGACTGGACCCTGAGCCTGGGATCCCACAGCCCACGCCTCCAGCAGTGGGCTCGGATCCCAAGAGTCTGACACTCAGGCTGGAAGCTGGGTGCACAGGCTCAACCTTGCCCATAGAGCTCAAACTGCAGTATTAATAAAATTTCACCATTCCGTAAGACCTAGCCATGCTGGGCCCACCGGCTGCCCTTCTGATAACTGGCCATGTTCTCCACCACTCCCAGATGTCTCTTATGCCTGACCCTCTCTCTGCTTACCGTTGCTTGCCAAGCGTTCTAGAAGTCACTCTAAGATCTGAGAAGGCTTGTTCCGGGACACAGATTTCCATGGCTTCCCCTCATCCCACACGGCTAGAGGCTGTGATGCTACCAAACCTGTCTGCCAATGCCCGCCTCTGCCTGGGTCCCAGGTGGGCTGGTGTGGGGTGACTCACCACCTTGCCCGGCCGGGCCCAGGTGCAGATGAGGCCCTCCTGGCAGGCGGTGATGATGCAGTCCTCCAGGAAGAGGAGGACCGTGAGCCGCTCCTGGGCGATCTTCTTGCACACGAGCGGCTCGAGCAGCGGCACCTCGTGGATGCGCGGGCACAGCGCGGTGCCCAGCACCTTGGCGGGGTCCAGCCGGCTTCGGGGGGCGGGGCCGCTGGGCTTGTCCCCGCCGCCCCCGCCCCCACTGCCGCCCCGGCTGATGTTGCCCAGGCTGTGGTAGCGCTTGTGCTCTTTCTCGGCCCCCCGGTCCCGCCGCTCCTGCAGCGTGAGCGTGGCAAAGCGGCCGATGCTGAAGGGCGTCCCCGGCTCCGCCGCCGCACCCGGGCCGCCCGCCTTGCCGCTGCCCGCTGGGTGTGGGAGGCTATTGGACCGGGACAGTGAGCGGGGCAGGGGCCCGGGGCCTGGCTCACCACCTCGCGAGCTGCCGGTGGCAGGTGGCGTGGTGCCCGGCGTGCCGGGGAGGGTGCGGGTGCGGGCCAGGGGAGGGTGAGGGTAGAGCACGTCTTCGGTGAGGTCCCACAGGCAGAACTGCGTGTCCTGGCCGGCCGAGCCGAAGCGGTAGGTGATGGAGCCGGCCTTGGGCAGCGGGGAGAGGGGGGCGCCCCCGCCCGAGCCCGTGCCCGCGGCCTCCGGCTCCTCCTCCTCCCCGCCACTCCGCTCCCCGTCGCCACCGGCAGCAGCCGCCTCCTCGGCCCTCGTGGTGTAGGGGTCGAAGGCCACGGCGTTGACCCAGGACTTGTGGCCGTGGCCTCGGGCCACCACGCGGCCCTCGGTGAAGGACCACACGGTGACCAGGTCATCTTCACCACCTGTCACGACGTAGCGCCCGTCGGGGCTCCAGCACACACAGAGCAGGCCCCCGAAGTAGCTCTTCATGAGCCCGCGCAGCAGCATGGAGTCGAAGTGGAAGACGCGCAGGCAGCCGTCCTGGCTGACGCAGGCCAGGTGCCGGCCGTCGGGCGAGAAGGCGAACTCGTTGAGGGGCCCCTCGCCCACCGCCCACTTGGCCAGCGGGTTGCGGGGCGCCTTGCTCTTGGCGGCGTAGACGGCGAAGCCCTCGCCCTGCTTCAGCAGGCTGTACTGCGGTGGGGCCGAGGCGCACGGGTGGCTGACGTTGTACAGGTACAGGTGGCCGCTGGCGTGGGATGCCAGGAACAGGCTCTCTGACTCAGGCAGCCACTTCAGATATGTCACCTTGGTCTTGTCGATAAGCCGCTGCCAGGGGAGAGAGCGGGAGTTGGGAGAGGGCCATCCTCCCGTGGCCCACCTCCTCCCCAGCCTGCTTCCCCGGAGAAGGTCATCGTAAGTGGCCCGGGCCTCCTCGGAGAGGAGGGACTGAGGGAAACGGACAGACACCAGGTTAGGGGAAAGCAGGGGGAGAAGGGCTGTGTGAGGGGAGCGCCGTGGAGCCTCGATGTCCCTTCTTCGGCAGGAGGGCAGTGCTGCCTTCCAGAGAAGTCTCCTCTAACCCCCTCCGCCATCCTTCCCATGTCATGCTTAAGGCAAGATACTGAGCCACGGAGTATCAGCCCCCCAAGGAAGGCATCTCTGTTTATTTCGTTCATTGTTCTAGCCCCAGAGCACGGAGCTGTACCCGCAGGAGGTGCCTGGAAAGTAGTTCCAGGACACCTGAGTGACAACCCCATCCTGGCAGCCACGCATCTTTGCTCCTTTTTGTCCTCACAACTCACCTCCAAACCTGCAAGAAATCCTGTGGGCTTGATCTGCAAAATGTGCCCAGAACCCGATCTCTTCTCACCACCCCCAACTCCAACCACCCTGGTCTCAGCTGCCGTCAGGCCTGCAACGGCCTAACTGACCGGTCTCCACCACCTGGGTCTCTTCTCTGCACAGTTGCCAAAGAGATGCTATTAAAACCTAAGTCAGCAACCGGCACTGTCTCTCCCATTCTGAACACCATGGCAGCCTTTCTCAAGCAGGACTCCGGGGAGAACCAAGCTCTAAAGCCCTTTGGCATCCACCGTCTGTAACAAAGTAACTTCTTTCCCAGATACCCAAGTTGCTTCCCATTCTCCATTCTCTGGAGAATTTAGAAATTAAATCAAATTGTTTCTGTGTTCTTGGCTCCGATGAACCCCAGTGGCGAGAGGCTCTAAAGGCCAAGGTCTTTTCCATGACCTGCCACACCCTACCTCTCCTGGCCCCTCTGAGTTGTTTCTCGGAGCTCATCTACTACCCTCCCTCTCAACACTGCTCTGGCCACACAGCCTTTTTGCTGTCCTGCTTCCGGCATTTGTCCTAGCTGTTCTGTTCCCTCTACTCAGAATGTCCTTTTCTCCAATAATTTGTCTTGCCTCCTTTAGGAATTTATTTCCATGTCACCTTCCATGAGACCTTTCCTAACCTCACCGAGCACTCCCCATTCGCCTTCCCTGCTGGATTTTTCTCCACGACACTCTGACACACAGCCTACTTAGTAATTTGATAACTATCTGTCTCCTCCAGCTAGATAAAAGCTCCACAAAGGCAGGGCCCTCTGTTTTGTTCACCGAGATGTAGTATTCCCAGTGCTTAGAACGATGCCTGGCAAAGAACGAATGCTCAATGAGTATTTTGTGAATGGATGACCTAGTCCACTTTAATCCATTCCGTGTTCCACTCACTCCCCTCTGCCATTCATGCACTCTGTACATTTGAAACACCTTCTCAGAACAGAGAGAAAGAGAAAGAGGACAAGAGTAATTCTGGACACAGATAAGGTCTTTCACTGGCATTTCCCCTTCTGCCAGGTCCACCCAGGACGGAGCAACCTCCATGTATGATTTTACAACAGTCCCGTGAGGTAGGGATGGGAATCCCATTTTGCAGAGGAGAAAAACTGAGGCTAAGGGAGGAACAGTCACTTCCCAAAGCCACACAGCGAGTAGACGGTGCAGCAAAGATTTGAATCCAAAGCCCACAGGGCCCAGAATTTGAAAAGCAAGGGCTGTGGCTTCAAACAAATCCCAACCAGTGAGTAGCTTCAGTTCTCTAATCTGCAAAATGGGTATCACAATCCTAAGCCATTGGCTGATGAAAACTCCAGGAGTAATGTGCTCAGCATCGGGCTAACACAGCACAGGGCCTGGGCACACGAGGTGCAACCGTCGTTATTAGCTATCATCGCAGCAGCTGCTGCCACCCCAGCCTCCATGGCCATCAGTCCCTCCCCCATCTCTCCCTCATCCTGCCCCCTCAGGCCTACGCTGCTTCCCAGGCAGCTGCAGTCTCATGGCAAACAGTGTATGGGTGGGTGGGAACGGGAGCAGTTCTGGGCCCTGGGGGCCCACAATCACCTCCTCATTGAATAGCTTGCTGGTGTCCTTCTTGATGAGATCCAGGTACTGCACTTGACCGGCTGAGAATCCCACCAGCAGGGAGATGGTCTCTGTGGCAGCAGTGAACTGGTTGAAGTCGTGGCAAGTGGGCTGGGTGCCCTTATAGATCCGCTTGTCAATTGGCTTGTTGAGGTCAATGGACTTGGGTGGTGGGAGAAAACGAGTTAATGGCTTCTACCACTGAGAGGAAGGAAGAGGGTGTTGAGGTTGGGGGAAAACCACAAAGAGGAAGCAGGGTTAAATCCCTGAGGGGAGTGGGTAGGTGGATGGGTGAGCGGGGAGGGAAGGGGCAACCACAGACAGGAAGGAGCACCCAAATCACAAACAGAGGAAAAAACCAGGCAGGAAGCTTTGCCCCCTGCCACCACATGAGACCACAGTGCGTCCTCCCCAAAGTTGGACACCCCCAACTTCTGGTACACCCTTGGCCACAGTGTCAGTTTCAGGGCCCCTGTAGTCCCTGAGCTCCAATTCCTTTCTGTAATTTCAGCAACTCCCCTGGGTCTTAGCACCACTATATTCCAAGACCCTCAAAACTCAGGATCATCCAATCCCCAGAATTCTAAAGTCCAATGTCCCATGATTCTCCCCACTTTGGAGTCCTTAAATCTCAGCATCCCCATCACAGTTCAGGGACCCATTAAACCTCATGATCCCCCAAATTTTAGGTGCCTTCATCATCTCTGGGCTCTCAGGATCCCCATCACTTCTGGGGACCACCATAAACTCCAAGGGTCTCGTGTCCTCTGGGACTGACATCACTTTAGAGACACCCATCACACCTGAGGATGTTCCCTCTGGGATCTCATTATCTCCAGATCTCCCATCAGTTCCGAGATTCTCATTTCCTCCAGCACCCTCATTACCTCCAGAACCCCAAGTTTCTCTAGGATCCCATTCACCTTCAGGATCCCTATTACCTCTAAGCCCCCATTACTTCCAGAATCCTCCTCACCTCTGGGCTCCCCAAGTCCCCCCAACACCCCCAGACAGCAATACCCCTGGGCTCTCCATCACTTCTGAGCCTGCATTTCCCATCACCTGCAAAATGCCTGCCAGCCAGCACCTGGGAGCTCCCCATACCATCTCGGATTCCCCATCACCTCCAGAACAGTCGCCATCCCAGGACCCTCACGCATAACCTCGGGATCTCACATGATCTCGAGGTTTCCCAGCACCTCCCAGCACCCAGGGAGCCTCCCATCACCTTTCAGAATCCTGTATTACCTCCAACAATCCTTTCCCCTTAAGATGTCCGTCACATGTAGGATGCCTATCTCAGGGCCCCCTATCATTCAGGGACTCTCCTGTCACTTGTGAATCACCTCAGGGATCCCCATCCTCTCAGCCAGCACCCAGGGCCCCACGATGCGGGCCGCTCACCCGTTGGCTCCCGCGGCGACAGCAGCCCGGGTAGAAATAGAGCTCGCGGCCCAAGTTGAAGCAGACGCGGTCTCCCCCAGCGCCCAGCCCTGCGGGCGTGGCGGGAGGCTCCCCGGCCCCGGCGCCGTCGGGCTCCCCGAGGCGCACGAGGCTGAGGCGCACCGCAGGCAGCGCGGGCCCGGGCCCTGGGCCTGCGGGCGGAGGGGACGGCGCGGCGCCCGCAGCACCGGGGCCGGAGGTGGAGGCAGGGCCGGGCAGGGGCTGCTGCGGCGGCTGGGGTGGCGCCGGGGTCTGGGAGGAAGCCGGACCCGACCTGCGAGCGGCGCCGTCGCCGGGGAGCAGCTTGTAGAAGCCCTCGCGGGTGCGGAACTGCGACTTGATCTCCGCACAATCCCCCATTGCAGCGCCGGGGCCCGAGCCGCCCTCCGCGCCGCCCGCCGCCATCTTGGGCGACCCCCACCCCAGCCCAGGGCCCCGCTAGTGCCGGACAGCCGCCTGCCGCCGGGCCCCCTGCCGGAAGCCGTGGATCCGCACCGGAAGAGGTGGTGTCGTCGCCCGGGCAACGCCTCTTCGATTGGCAACAGGGTAGGGAGGCGGGACGAGCTCCAGCCGTCGCTCCGGTAACGGTTCTGGACTGAAGGCGGGGCTACAAGATGGGCGCGGCCTTCGTGCCTGCGGCCGACGTGGTTGGCTGTGGGGGCGGGCCCCGTAGGGAAAGGGGCGTGGCCATCAAAAGAGCACAGGTCCCTAGCAACGGCGCTCTGGGAACCGTTTGCCTAGCAACGGGAGTACCCTCAAGAGAAGGCCTCATCCAAACCTTGTCCTTCCCATGACGTCACAGATGACTCCAGGTGACCCTGGAGTCTCCCGAAGACTCCCAACATACACCCTCCGGTGTTTCCCACTTACATCTTAAAGTCCCAGACTGGCCACAGCATCTCCAACCATTCCTCCCCACCCTAGATGATCCCGCAAATCCCACTGATCTCCATTGCCTCCATAAAACTCCAAGGACTTCATCTAACCCACTACTGATTAATACTAACACCAAACATCTCCACATTTCCCACCAACCTCCTATGTATCTCCATAACTCCACAATCTTCAACAATCTCACTCGGTCCTCCGACACCCACCAAAATTTTATTGATCACTGCAATGTCCCCAGTGTCCCAATAATCCACTAGTAACCCGAAATCTCTTCCTGATCCCATCAGCTCCCTGATAGCCAGTGCCCCTCACTTCTTCTGACACCACCCTGCCCCCATCACAGATCTTCCTAGACCCACTTATTCAATTGCCTCCCAGATTTCTCACTGGAATGTCCCAGAAGAATCTCACACTCAACAAGTCCTGCAATGAAATTAACATCTTGGGCTTCCCTGGTGGCGCAGTGGTTGAGAGTCCGTCTGCCAATGCAGGGGACACGGGTTCGTGCCCCGGTCCGGGAGCAGCTGGGCCCGTGAGCCATGGCCGCTGAGCCTGCGCGTCCAGAGCCTGTGCTCCGCAGCGGGAGAGGCCACAACAGTGAGAGGCCCGCGTAACGCAAAAAAAAAAAAATTGACATCTTACTCCAAATCCTGCTCCTCTCCTGTGTCCTCATTTTAGGGCTGGCACTGACATCCCCTCCAGTCACCAGGCTGCAGAACTCAGTGTCTCCCTAGACTTCTGCTATTTCCCTTCACTCCCTGATTCCAGTCCCCAAGTCTTTTGCATTCTGTCACCTGAATTCCTCTGTTCCAGTCCATTCCTCTGTGCAGCCCTGGTCTAAACTCCTCCTCTCCTGCTTGGGCCCTCCCTGTATGAGCCTTGTCTCTGCTCTCCCAGACTCCTGTCTCACCCCTCTATCTGCCCTCCACTTGGCATCTAGAGAGGTCTTTCTAAAGCATGATAATGATCAGGACCCTGCCCTGTTCAAAGCCCATCGGTGGCCTCCCTAGGGTTCTCAGGACAAAGTTCAGCCCTGGGTAATCTGTTCCTGCCAACCTCTCTTTCCAGCCTCATTTCTCACCACTGACTCCTCACACCATGTCCCAAAAATGAGGTTTGAGAATCTACCCCAACACAACACACTCTCTCTTGCCCTTGGGTCTTTGAATGCCCTGTTCCCTCTGCTTGGAATGGCCTACCACTCTGTTTTTGACCATTTATGAGCCACCTCGGGAGCTCTGTCAGTCCTCTGGGCTCCCCTATCTGGGTTGTCATTGTCTAGGGAATGTGTCTGTCTCTCCTGTAGAGTGTGAGCCCCTGGAAAGCAGATCTGGGGCCACTGGGTCAACGCTGTGTTCCCAGCACAGGGCTGGGTTGACCTGGGGCACTTCAAGAGTTGTTTGATGGCCCGATGAATGAATAAATGAACAGATGGGAGAGACTATGCCGGGCAATGTCTGTGTTCCTAGCAAAGTGCCACTGTCCTGACTTGGAGGCCATGTCAACAACTGTGGTGAACAAATGAATGAGTGACTCGGCTGGAATGCCCTGAGGAAATTTTATTTAGAGCAGCTGCCTTCCTCTTCTACCCCTGCCCTCTAGGGGCAGGAAGCAAACCAACAATGAAAAAAAACCAAGCTAAAACTGTGTATAAGGGAAAACCTGTTATCTACCTGCTTGAGGAAGGGGGCTATGGGGCCTCAGTCATCCTGGCCCTCATCCTCCTCTTCCTCCTCTTCCTCCTCTTCCTCTTCCTCTTCCTCCGCGGCCGCCAGGGCCTGCTCCTCCTCCACCGTGGGGTCGCTCATCTCCACGATCTCCAGGCCGCTGGGGTACTCTTGCTGAACAGGGGCTGGCAGGGACGGGTTGAAATTCTCAGGACTGTACTTGTGGCCCCAGCCGATGTAGATGTTCTCAAACTTCCTGGAGGGGCAGAGAGATGCTGGGAAATCCTCCCTGAAAGACCCCAGCCTGGACTTTTGTTAAAGGTGGGACCCAGCCTAGGCATGGCATGCCTGCAAAGTTATGTGTGGTAGAGTGGAATGTGCCCACCAGGTTTCTCCGTTCATTGGTTCTTTCAGGATTCACTTAGCACTTACTAAGTGCCAGGTCTTGTCTAGAGCCGCACTGTCTAACAGCACATGTAGCTGTTGGGCACCTGAAATGTGGTGAGACTGAAGAACTGAATTTCTAATTTTATTTAATTTTCAAATTTCACTTGTGGATTCTTCTTTGACCCATTGATTATTTAGGACTCTGTGGTTTAATTTCTACATACCTGTGAGTTGCCCACATTTCCTTCTTTTACTGATTTCTAATTTCATTCCAGTGTGGTAAGAGAAGAAATTTTATATGATCAATCCTTTTAAATTTATTAAGACTTGTTTTATGGCTTAGCATTTGGTCTATCCTGGAGAATGTTCTATACACACTTGAAAAGAATGTGTGTTCTACTGTTGTTGGAGAGGATTTTATTTAATTTTAATTCACTTAAATTTAAACAATAAAACTGATACTTCATTTATTGGAAGACATCTAAGTATGTCTGGGACAACCTGGGTACAGGAATCTACTTTTTCAACTGTAAGTGTTGTGAAATCTGAATACAGGTCAAGTATTTCTTTTTTTTTTTTTTTTTTCAGGTCAAGTATTTCTGATGAAAATTTAGTACCCGAATTGAGATGTACTGTGAGTGTAAACTTCACCCCAGATTCTGAAGATTGCGTATGAAAAAAAGAGTGTAAACTAGCTCGTTAATAATTTTTACATTATTGATTTCATGTTGTAATGAGAATGTTTAGGATATTTGGGGTTAAATACATTATTACATTTTTGTTTATATTGACCAGCACTGGTCTAGATATGGGAACCTAGCAGTGAACAAATTAGACAAGAATCCCTGCTGTGGGGCCTACATTCTAGAGAGAGGAGACTGACAATAAACAGGAGCATAATTGGTTGCATCCCAGGCCCACCAATTCACCTCTCCCCAGAATTTTAATGGGAGAAGGAAAGAGGAGTAGATGGGGGGAAAGGGAGCGGACTAAGAGACAGGGAGAGAAGCAGAGAGTTTGCCACGGGGAGCAGTTTGGATTTGACCTTATTTTCATAGCCTTGCTCTTCCCTCGAGAATCATTTTCCTCTGGGTCTTCCTCGGAACCTTCAAATACACTGCTTCCTTGGAAGCCCCTGACCTCTGCCAGCCCCGGTTCCTGGGTCCAGGAACCAGCAGCCTCACCCAGGAGGTTGTGCTTGCTAGGAAGGCAGAGTCTTGTGCTCCAATCCAGACCCAGGCGATCAGAACCTGAGCTTTAACCAGAGCCCCTGGTGAGTCCTACCCATTCACAGTTTGGGAAGCTCTGGTCTAGAATGTCCATCTGCCTGCTTTTCGCCTAGTTACTTCTTTTTTTCCCCCAAAGATTTCCGATCAAGGCTGCTTTTCTCAGCCTTGAATCCTTCCTTGATCCCCTCAAGACATGACAGGTATGAGCTGTCATTGGTCCCTCCACTCTCCCTAGTGGTACTTCTCTTAGTTTGTAACAGGATATTTCAGGGGGGTAAGGGGGTGAGGGAGGGTGAGGCTCGATGCACATCTAACACCTATGCTTCCTCTGCCTGCTCCCAGAGTAGGATCCATGTCTGCTTTTTCAACAAAGTACTTGGGGCCCAGCGTACAGCTGGTAAACGGTGACATTCAAGAGTCTTTTATAAGGAAGAAAAGTGGCGAGATGGATGCATGGTTGGGTGGTGGATGGGAGGGTGGATGGGTGGTTGGGTAAGTGGGGGTTGGAGGATGGGTGGGTGAGTGGAGCTCCAAGTTTGGATCCTTTGCTTTCAGAGGGATGCTGGCAAGTTAGGGTGTGGCCAGAAGAAGGGCTCTGGCAAAAGCAAGCATACCTCTTCCATGCTTCTGGAGGCGAAAAAGACATTGTCAAGAATGTGGTTAAATTATCAAGATGATGTAAACTCCCACCTTGACTGTGAAGCATAGCATCGAATACAGTGCAGGCTGTTCACTGATATGGAGAAGGAAAAGCTATGAAAAACCGTCATGCCATCTGCTGGACAGATCCGGTAAGTGCATGCCCTGTGGCTGCAGGCTACGCTCTCTAGTGGCTGAGCAGAAAAGCTGGGATGGTGCCTGGTGAGAGGCTGAGGGACTTGTCTCGAGTGTGTAGCCGAGGTGGGAGGATGTGGGAGTGACTTCCACCTGCCAATCTTTTGGGAACAGCTGGTGGGGGATCCTGGTGGGGAAGATCTGTGCCCTTAGAGAAAAGATCCTTCAGATTGGAAGAACTGTGGAGGAGACTCAGGGAAGGAGTTAGCTTTCCCAGAGATGAGACTCTGCCCATCAAGGCCACCCCAAAGGGGACATCTGAGTCCTGTCTGGCTCCATGCCTCAAACAGCAGGAAAGCCTGGGCCAAGGGGCCAAGGTATCCATGTTTGAATACTGCACAGGCAGTGTGATCCCTGAGTTAGTCCCTTCCCCTTCCTGACCTTCCATTGTTTCATCCCAGGGGCTCACACACTTGGTATGGGATTTCTCATTTTAGCCCTAGTGGGACCCCTGGGAGCTGAGTGAGGA